ATATTTTCAAAGTAAATAATAATAATAGTAAATAAAAGAACTACAATTTTTTATTTTTTTTCCAAATTTTCTTTATGAATCAAGAATCTTCTAGAATTTATTTATTGCATTACCAAATTTATATTTTGCAGAGTTGTAACGTTAAATTATATGGTACCATACATGTCAACTAGACAGAAAATACATAAAATTTTCCCTTTTCTACCAAAAAAAATATTATATTGGATTTCTACTAAAAAAAATTATAACTATATTGGATTAATACCTTTTTTAGCATAAGTAATAAAAGCTTGTTGATTTGGTAACTAATACAGTAAGTTAAAATTTCCTACTAAAACATACTTTAAACTCGATGATCGACAAATGATCATGTTTAATAATATGGTAAATACAAATAGAATTGTTCAAGGTATCGATTCATTAACATGTTAAGTTTTTTCAACTTATAATATATTTTGATTATGATACAGTACAATAAAAAAAGATTTTATATCTATTAATCGGTGAAATTAATAGATATAATGTATTTTAGGCTCTTTTGTCAAAAGGAAATACCAAGGAATTGATTGTTTTGAGCAAGTTAAGATCCTATTTTACTACTACATCTGACATTATAGAAGTTTAAATACTTTGAAACAGAGAGAGATTGGACTACTTTTTCAATTAAGATTTTAAAAATATCTTTATTAAATAAAATTAAAGAAAAGTAAAAATGGTTGAAATTTTAAAATATGGCTAAAACTTTAAAAAACATGTTTAAAAGTAAAAAGAAAATATATATACACACTTATATATTTTTGAATCCTTAACAATTCAGGTTTATTTTACCTATACAAATTTAATTAATTTTTTTAGTAAATTTGCCACTTGAGTACTATTAAAAAATTAACAAATATTCATATATATATATAAAAAATTAACAAATATTCATGTATATATATATATATATATATATCAAAACTTTCTATTTAAATGTTTTTTATTTGGACATAAGACAAGGTCAAATAAAAGATACGACACAAATAACTTTAAACATGCATAAGCAATAACTAGCTCGGATTCTTTTTCTTCTTCGTTCTATTACTTTAATCTCTAAACTTTTGTATTTATTTGATTTTCGAATCATAAACTTTCAAACATATATTTTAGCTATTAAAATTTTCATAATAAAACTATTTGAATTTCTTATCAAAAGATCGTGAGTTCGAGTTCCACCCTACATATTGTAATCAACAAAATAAATAAATAACATAAAATAGTTTGTAGCGGTAAGTTTTTCACTGCTTATTTATTAAAATTTTTCATTTAACATATATTTAATTTATTTACTGTAAATGTCTGAATTAAATTTCATAGGTCATGCTTTATATTTTTAAACACATTTGAATTTTTGTTCAATAATTTACAGAAAATAAACAGTGTTTTATAGAAATTTTAAATATTAAAGAAAATATAGAAGATTTGTAAGTTTAAAAATAAAAATAGTATAAATAAAAGTTCAAAATCACGCAATTATTTTATTTATTTTTGTTTTTTTCGAGAGCATAAAATGTTTACATGCAAAAAGCACAATCAAATAAGGACAACCACACCTTTCTCCCGTTACCACCGTAATAAATCAAATAAATAAACAAAAAAGAAGTAGCGTTTTTTATTATTAAAATCCAAACTTATCTACGGATAATTCAACCAATTTTTTTAAAAAATAAATTATAGAAGAAGCAAATAAGGATAGGAAAATTAAAAAATAGTCTAATAAATGAATAACAAAATTCATTCTTATTAAACTATTTACAAACAAAATATATATATGTCTTGAAAAGAGTATTCTTATAGATATATTAATATTAAAAGAGAATACTTCTTTTTTCGTTTTCCTTTTGAGAAAAGAGAATACTTCTTATTTACTATAACATATCATCGCACGACACACGTGACGGTGGTCACGTGACATTATATTAATAAACTAAAAGAAAAGCAATTTAAGAAAAAGAAGCAATAAAATTTATAAAAAAGGTAAAATCACGACTAGAAAATACAATTTTACCAAATATAATAGAAATTGCCATGTAAGCCTGGAGGCAGGTACATTTGTAGTGAATTGTGTGTATAAATAGGAGAGTTGTTGGGGGGAAATAGGCATCTCCATTTTTTTCTCTCTCAATACCAAAATTTCCTTCTTTGTGTTGAAATTTTAGTAAATGGAGTTGAGTTGGGCTGTGGCGGTGGCGGCGGTGGCGACCGCCGGCCTGGTGGCGGCGAAATGGCTGCTGAAGAGCGTGAATGTGTGGCTTTACGAGGCCAAATTGGGGCACCGGCGGCTGGCTCTGCCGCCGGGGGATTTGGGGTGGCCCTTTGTTGGGAATATGTTTGCTTTCTTTAGAGCCTTCAAGTCTACCAACCCTGAAACTTTCATTGATAGCTATGTTTCAAGGTCATCCCTTTCTCTCTCTATCTTTGTATTTTTCATGCCCTCTCACAACGGGCTCGATATAAATTCGAGATACTTTTGTGATTTTTTTTAATGTTTTAGTCTTGTAACTGTTACATGTATGATTAAGTTCTCAAAATTTCTTCCAAATTTCCATTGATTGGGCTGTAGAAATCTTGCTTACCATTAATAAACTTTTTGTTGGTGATTATTTTTTAAAAAAGATTTCTTCTCTGTGTTCCTTTTTCTTAATTGTCAAAAATTTAAGGTGAATTTATTGTGACCGAATCAAAAAAATGTTTTCTTACTCATTTCAATTGTTGGGTTCACAATATAATGGGGTGACGTGAAGTCTAGCACTATTTAAGAATAATTGAGGACCTATTTAGTAACGTTTCCCGTTTTTTGTTTCTCATTTTAATTTTTTTAAAAATCTAAGCATTTTGCAACTAATTATAACTAGGATTTTTTGTTTTCCCTTTTTGGAACATTATCAAAATTGTATACAACTTTTAGAAACCACAAAAAACAAGTTTCTTTTTGGTTGTTTCCATTTTCAATCGGTTCCAAAATATAAATACAAATATTGTTTGATCGTACTTAAATTCAGTGATGTTAGATCATACAATTCATTTTTCTTTATTAAAAATGAATCAATTGATTACTATGGACAATTTTAATGTGAACAATATGTACTACATGAGTTGTACAAGTTTTGTCTAATTATCCATTTTCTTCTCTCACTTTTATTTGGGAGAGTACTTTAATGCTTACTGCATAGTACCTATTCTCCTCTTGGAGACTACCCATAAAAATTTGACAGCTTTTTAATTTTTTTAATAATTATATATTTTTATTTATATATCTGTTTTACTTATGAAAAAAAGGCCAAGTATTTTATTTATTTATTTCATGCATGTTAACTGACGTCTTTTTCTTTTTGTTTTTGTTTTTTCTTTCACATACGCGAAAATGACAGTTATGTTGAGTCGGTTAAAATTAAATGTTTCTTTCTCCATGTACTTTCTCTCTCTAAAAAGTATTGGTAGCAGTATTAAAAAAAAAAGAAAAAAAAAGTATTGGTAGCAGACATCGAGATATAGGGTTAGTTTTGTAATTTACACATGCATKGTTAATTGATATTTTGTTTTTATTTTTCTTTCTCTCTTGCCTACATGCATTCGATAGTAACGAAAATGAAATGATAGCTACATTCTAATAATTCAATTCGATGTATTTTTTCTTTCTAATTTTTAATTTAAATATACTCGTTTGATTATGAAAATTACTTAGGAGCCTTCGTGTTTGATCTTGATTCTAATTCTTTTTTCATTCATGTCTGGTTTAATTAGTAAATTTTTGTAAATTTAATTCAACTAATTAAAATATCTATATCTCTAACAAAAAAATCATGAATTCAAAAAAGAAAAAARACCAACAAAATAGACTATTTTGAATTCTTTTTTTTCCTCCTCAAAATTCTAGATTTATTTTATCCTCTTTTACTTTGATTTTACAATGTTGAAAATAAATCTGTCACCCACTTATTTTATTCGAAGAAGGTTCTTTTTTTCATGACCAAACAAATAGTTTTAAGGCGAACTTTTTACCACCCATTTTCTAACATGATATTTCAATTCTAAAATTTAAAAGTGGTAAAATAGGAAAATTTTTGAAATCTGTAATATTTATGAACCTTGATGTTGCTTTAGAGCAATGCTCAAGTTAGTTGGTCGTTGTCCCTCCTTTTTCTAAAATTGCATAGTTGGATTATTAAATAATAATAATTTTTTTTTAGAAAACGTAAATAATAATAATTAAAAACGGTTTATATGATAGGTTTCATGTATAAAAATAAAAAAATAAAAAACAGGGGAGAAATTACTATAGTGGCCTTGAAAGCGTTTTTAACGGCATGCATGTAAAAATGCTGAGGAAGTGAGGTACGAAAACGGAGAACTCACCTGTCCAAAACAGAGGACTTGATTCGAGCGATATTCCTCCTCGCTGACAAATTTGTCCTCGCTCAACTTTTCTAATTTTGTTTTTTCCCCATTTTGTCATTTTCTAATTATGTTGCTTTTTTTTACAATTTTTTTTTTCTGAAAATAGGTGTTTTAATCCATTAAATTATATTTTTGACAAGTTCAACATTATTAAATAGTCTTTTAATTATATCAACTTCTCAATATTGTTTTTAAACAATCAATTTCTCAATATTATTTGCCCCTGAATTTATTCTTATGAAATTTGAATTTTAATACTCTAGGTATACAGCTATAAAATACTTCAAATTTTTCTTAAAAGGACAAGGAGACCAATTGGACTTTTGATGGCTAGCTACTATGCACTGAACAATTCCCTTATATTTCTTTTATTATTATTTTTACATTACATCAATCATAATTTTAGTTATTGAATCTAACCTTATACATTTTTTTTCAAATATTACATTAGTATGGGGAAGATTTGAAGGTAGAGATAGCATGTGACAACTTAACATTATACTAAAACAAGCACTTTAATTAAAAAATATTTTTTTTGTTTTCCAATATATTATTTAAAATTATTTATTGGTATCATTACATGTCGGCGTGGTACCATGATCGATGATGCGACTTTTCTGTTATTTGTTTATTTATTTTTTTACTTTTTTTTTTGCTGTCAAAAGTGGACAATTTCTTGTGTTCATCTTATTTGCTCAATTCTAGGAATCCTTAGCTTGTCATAGTGTTCTAGAATACTCTTACAATATATTTTTTCTAACATTGTTTTTAAAAATATATATAATTATTTACTTTTTTTTAATATTAGCCAAATATTTAAAATTAAAAGAAGCGTTTCCAAAGGCTTTTTCTCTTTTTTTTTTTCTTTCAAATGGGTTTTGAGAAATGAAAAAACACTTTAGTGTTCTAAAAGCATAAAATTAAAAAAATGGAAATATTACACTTCATTTTACTATTTTGAGAAATAAATTTATTGAAAAGCGGTTCCCCTTTTTTAAAAAACCTGTGTTAAGTTATTTTTATTTTGATATATTTTTTATTTTTCTCTTAAAATGCGTGAATCGCTTTGAAATTAAAAAAATATATATATATGGAAAAGAAAGCAAGCAATCAGTAATTAGAAGATTAAAAGTTAATTATTTTAATTAATTGCAATTTACAGGTACGGTAAAACCGGAGTATACAAGGCTCATTTGTTTGGAAACCCTAGCGTGATCGCGACGACGGCGGAAACATGCAGAAAGGTTTTGACAGACGACGAAGCTTTTCAACCTGGCTGGCCACGCGCCGCCGTGGAGCTCATCGGAAAGAAGTCGTTCATCGAAATGCCGCCGGAAGAACACAAGCGCCTCCGACGCTTAACCTCTGCTCCGGTCAACGGCTTCGAGGCCTTGAGCAATTACATTCCCTACATTGAAGAGAATGTCTTGGCTTCGTTGGAGAAATGGTCAAAGATGGGGAAAATCGAATTCTTAACTCAACTTCGAAAGCTCACTTTCACTATTATTATGTACATTTTCCTCAGCAGCGAGAGTGAAGATGTAATGGAGGCATTGGAGAAGGAATACACTAAGCTCAACTATGGTGTTCGAGCCCTGAGAATTAACCTTCCTGGATTTGCTTACCACAGAGCACTGAAGGTGTTTGATAATTTGCCTCAATCATCTGCGAAAGTTTTATTTATGGAATTACCTGGTTAACTAAACCACGGATTAATGTGCAGGCTCGGAAGAAACTCGTGGATACGCTGCAGTCAATTGTGAGTGATCGAAGAAGCCGAAAATTGGACAAATTGTACACGAAGAGGAAGGACATGATGGACGCTCTGATTGATGTGGAAGATGAAAATGGCAGAAAATTGACCGACGAGGAAATCATTGATATTCTGATCATGTACTTGAATGCAGGTCATGAATCTTCGGGCCACACCATGATGTGGTCAACCATTTTGTTGAATCAACACCCAGAAGTCCTGAAGAAAGCCAAGGTATATATCAATTACAAACTTAATTAGCCTGTTAATTGAAAGTTCAAATAGGGTTCTTGTAGTAGTTGTTCAAATTGAAGTTCGATGGGATTCTTGTAGTTTAGAATGGTTTTTGCAGTTTTCCTTGAAATTTGTCGTATGAGATGAATCATGATACAAAATTTTTTGAAAAACTGAACAGGCAGAGCAGGAGGAGATTGTGAGGAGGAGGCCTGCAAATCAAAAGGGATTAACATTAAGAGAATGCAGGGATATGGAATATCTCTCAAAAGTGGTCGATGAAACCCTTCGCTATGTATCATTCTCCCTCGTTGTTTTCAGAGAGGCGCAAATGGATGTCAACCTCAATGGTCTCTCTCTCTCTGTTTTTCTCTCTGTCTCTCTCTCCATCGTATAAATGGTCTGTGTTTGTTTGCAGGTTATCTAATTCCCAAGGGCTGGAAAGTTCTGGCCTGGTTCAGGGGCATTCACTATGACCCTGAAATCTACCCAGATCCAAAGAAATTTGACCCTTCCAGATGGGATGTAAGTTACAATCAAAGTTCTAAAACCCCTTTACAAAAATTCAAGTTACATCAATGCACTGAAATCCATCTCTGATTTTGGAGGATAGCCACACAAAAAACTATAAAATCTTAAGTTTTACACACACACATACATATATCTATATTTTGATAGGAAACATTAGAACTGTGTTGAAAAAGAGAAAAAGGAAGAGCCTAGAGGCCAGGGATGAGAAAGCCCCCGCAAACAAAAAATTTGTGAAGGACAGCTTGCCAATTACGTATTATTAACATCGTAAGATCGTAATTACAGAAAAAGGCCTTGTCAGTTAGACACCATGTGGAGGCGTAAGCTGTGCATAATCACAAAAAGAATCAAAAGAACGTGCTTTGTTGTTAAAAACCCGACCATTCCTCTCTTTCCAAATACACCAGGCTCTAGATGCACAGCCCCAAAGAACATAAGCTTTTCCTTTGAAAAGTGATCAATGAAGAGCATAAGTTTTACATATATACGATTTGAGTTATGACAAACTGCCCTCTTCCTTTATGTATCTCCGCTCTTTTTAGGGATTCATACCGAAAGCAGGGGAGTTTCTTCCCTTCGGAGCAGGAAGCAGGCTGTGCCCAGGGAATGATCTAGCCAAGTTGGAGATCTGCATTTTCGTCCACTATTTCCTCCTCAATTACAAGTGAGTTCCAGTTCTTGTTTTGCTTAAAATCCATGGAAAACGAAACACAGAAAGCTAACGAGTTGTTTATCTGTATTTTGGGACGAAATTTACAGGCTAGAATGGTTGAACCCTGAAGGTTCAATCTTGTTTCTGCCGCACTCAAGGCCAAAAGACAACTGCTTGGCAATAATCAGCAAGAATCCGAGCTTGGCTGCTTGAGGAGAATTGAGTTTTATGTAGGCATAATGGGGTGTGTTCTGTACCGTGTCGCCCACACAGATTAGCAGATAGACACATTTGGCTTCTCGTTTGTGTCATTTGGTAGTGAATTTTGTAGTGCAACTCTGGTTTTAATAAAATTAGGAGTTGTTCAAGAACTTCAAGTTTGTCGGGTTCTCTTATTCTTCAAATTAGTGTTTTATGATCTATAATGCCATATCCTTGTATTACTAAAATGCTGTGTTTTGAAGTCATTTGAAATGGAATGTTTGTCATTGTTATATCTATAATTTGTACTTTGATGAGTTCTCGGGATTTTGAAGGTTGTGTCCAGTAGGTTATTTAACTTCAAAAAATATTTACATGAAAATTCGATAATTCTATTATTATTTACTGAAGAATATATATACACAAATACTGAGGTACAAATGGATAAGGATGATAAAAGGCAAAATAATAAAAGTGATTACAAAAATATAAAATATAACAATACAAATACTCTAACATAATAAAAGTGATTACAAAAATATAAAATATAATAATACAAATACTCTAACATAATAAAAGTGATTACAAAAATATAAAATATAATAATACAAATACTCTAACAGTTGGTAAATAATTTATTAAACATTAACATTGAAATTTAAATGATTTGTATCTATAACAAAGGTTTAGGAATTTTTTTTGGAAACCTATTAGAATTTTTTTATTGAATTATATATCTGACACAACTTTAAAAGTGGACCAAAATTAAAACTTATAAGTTAAGTTATATTTTTTTTTGAAAATTGAAGAACTATAGTTGAAATATATGAATCAAAATCAAAGATTTAGCAAAAATACAGAGACTCAAACCATATATCAAACAGGAGTTTTTACTGAGTGCCACATTTTTTAAATATGTCCATGTGTTTTGAACTTGCAATTAGTAATGTTTTTTACTAAAAAAAATGTAAATTAGTAATGTTAAAAAATGTCCCTAAATAAGTTAATTTACACTTAAATATTTTAATTGCCAAAATTGGATAATACAATTATATTTGATTGCGCATTTTCTTTCTTTTTGTTTTATATACATTGGAGACTTTATAAACATTAACACGCGGATCTTTTGAAATTTTGTGGGTAAATTTAAAATAAATGAGAAAAACAAGTGTATACTACAAAAAGGTGTTTTATTCTCACATATTGCTATATTTGAAAAAAGTTATAATTTTTAAATGTTACTTTTTAGTATAATATGTGAGACTAAGATTCAAATTCATGTAACTATTTGAGCTCTGAATTAAAAATTATAATTTTTAAACTTTATCATAAAATTACCATATTAGAAATTAGAATATCGGTTTATTTATCGTGTCCGGTCGATAGCAACGGCGTCCCCCCTCGGCGCTGTCTCAAAATTACCATGAACTCCGCCGTAGACGATCTCTTCCCCCGACCCGCGAAACAGTACTATATAATCTTCCGAGTCTAAACATCGATTCGAAGTTTGGAGCCAAAAATGGCCGCGGCAACATTCGCGAGAAGAATAGGTACGGCTATTAAGGAAACAGCAATCGGAAACCGGACATCCGGCGGATGGTACGATCCTCACATGGCGGCCGCTTCTCGTGCCGTCGCCGAACGAATTCCACTGGTTGATTTTGTTCTTGAGGTCAGAGATGCTAGGGTATGCTTGCTTCTACTATTGTTTATTCGCTCTCATTGTATGTTGTTTGATTTGGCATCGGGACGCCATGTGTTCGTTGAAATGTCGGTTCCTATTGAGTTCACTTTTTAGTTTCAGTTCTTTTCGGAAACCTGGATTTATTTATTCTTTTGCGTGGTGATTCGCTTCGTTTTCGATAGAAGAATGTAGAACAGTGAAGTTGTATTGTAAATAAGGACTGCGTTATTATTATGAAGGAGAGAAAGAATCACTTAAAATGTTTGTTTATTTCTCTCCGTGTTATTGCTTTTTTTTTTTTTTTCCTTCAGATTCCAGTGTCATCTGAATATGAAATCATGAAAAATCATTCACCATCCTCGAAACGAATCATTGTAATGAACAAGGTGGACCTGGCGGATCGGTCACAGACAGAGGTTCTGAACTTTTCTAACTTCTATGTTCTTCGGCATAGAAATCACTTGTGAGCTTTTACTGTTGGAGTTACTTTCAACTCAAGTCATTCGGGATTTCGCAGGTCAATGTAGCTTATGTGATTCGTTACTGAAGTCTGTCTCGTAGTTTTTTGATTAAATATGACAATGACAAGTTTGTGGGATATTTTGAAAGGATAAGAGCAGAAGATACGCATAGAATATCTATGGGCCAGAATTTATTTTCTCCCCTTGTTATGGTCAATGATCGCACAGGAGTTCCGTAATTTTCCATTTTTACGATTTTCGCACACGGAAGAGTTTTTTACTTCAATTTTTCCCCTTTTGGTTTAAGTTGGATACCTGGCCACCTTCTTTGATCTTGCAATTATCTGTTGATAGAAATACTAATTGTTTTTCTTATATGTAAAAAAGGAATTTGATTATATGGAATCGGATTAGTACTTTAGCTATCAATTTACATTAATCCATCAGTACATATAACATTTTGTGAATTTATTTTTGCTTTTACAATTTAAACCATATTCGAAATGATTTTTCAGTCTGTTTCCATTGTTTCACACTTCTATACTGCATTCTGTTAACAGGTTTGGACAAAGTATTTTGAAGATCACAATTGCGTTTCTTATGGCGTTAATGCCCATAATAAGGATAACATTAGGGAGGTAAAGAACTACGCGATGAACTAAAGATGCGATGTTTATGTGTTCTTTTTTTATTTTTGCTATCTTGTTTGATCTACTCTTATTCCTTTTTCTTTGGCTTAGGAATGCTGGTGATAGTAATTGTTAGATGTCTTGTTGATATATATGTTTATTCTCCCAGCTTGTTTCAAGGAAAATTTTAAGTGTAATGTCAATTAAATGTAATTTATATACAAAAACTTCCCCACATTTCAATTGTCAGTTGATACTTTCTTATCATGGGACAATCCAATAGTTGTTTATTCTTTTGAGCTGGCCTTAGTTGTTCATGTTCTTGATGTAATAGTAATTGGTGGATGGTTCACAGTTTCTGAACTTTCTACAAGCTAGAGTGAGAGAACTGAAGAAGAGTGGTCATTCTAGTCATGCCACAACAATGATGCTGGTTGGAATTCCAAATGTTGGTAAGTCGGCCCTTGCCAACTCTCTGCACCAAATTGGGAGAATTAGTGCTGCAGGTACATCTCTTAAATCCCACAGAATTTGAATTTTCTAGAGAAGTTGATACTGGAATTATTTGGATGAATGATGATTGTTATTTATATGATAACAAAAAATTGCTACATGTGACATTTTGAAGAACTGCTCACCTCACAGAAAAAGGGAAGTTGAAGCATGCTGTGGTGAGTCCAGAGCCTGGTGAAACAAAAAATATCAGCAGCTTGAAGGTCTGTCGCTTTTCTCCTCAACAATGTATTAGGTGGTGAACTTTTCTTACTGATTTGAGGTTACTGCGTTACCTGCTTAGGTGTTTATCAAATTCTTATATTGGTATATTTTGAATTGAACAAGGCTTAAACAAGAGTAGAGGAAACTGAACCACAATAAATCTGTTATTTGATTTTATAATAGTGGGCAGCAAAGAAAAGATCTCTCATTAAGCTATGGGCACGAATATCATGTATCCTTTTTGGAAGCAAAGATAATATGTCTACTTTTGCTTTGTATAAGCTTTTGAATTTTATCTTTAAGTTTCTTTGTATTACAGATAGCTAGTCATCCCAATATTTATGTGTTGGACACCCCAGGCATTTTGCCTCCCAAGATTCTCAATATCGAGGTCTGTTCCAAGCTTGCTTTAACAGGTACAATATTATGTAGCCAACTTATCCATCTTCCTTGAGTAAACTATTTAAGTTGGTGAATTAGATACTGAAACACGCATACGAAGTGATAAATTTACTTGTGTGTGTGTGTGTGTGTTTTTTTTTCTCCTTTCTCCTGGTTGTAGCACTAGTGCTATTTCAGAGACAGTGGAAATGATCAAGAATCTTGAAACTATCAACTTTTTTGTTTTGCCTCCAAACTGTAGGAGCTATTAGAGACATCTTAGTTGGGGAAAGAGTAATTGTACAGTACCTTTTAACTATTCTCAACTCAAGTGATAAATATAAGAAGTGGGCAAGTTTGTCTGCCACCAACTGTGACAGCTCGTTGGAGTGTTCAACTTGCTCAAATTCAGAGAGTCAGAAAAGGGGGTACCCCTCTGATCACACGCAGGTATGCATTATATGGTTATTTTTTTCTTCCCAAAAGCATTATGTATGTATACTGAACAGTGAACCCAATTCATGCAGGTTTATTTTGCAATCAAAGTCTTTGTAGATGTCTTTAGGTTTCACATTATTCTCCATCTATTATTAGAGAGGGGACACATGGTTGATTCCTTACTAAAATAGTTTATTAATATATAATTTTTGAGGACACATGGTCGATTCCTTACTAAAATATTTATTTATATATAATTTTTGAGGTAATCTCTCACATTGGTGATATGCTTACTAACCAAAGTAACTGGTAAGTGGAAAAGTTAAGTGCTTTTTCAAATGTTACCTCGGGTACGCGCGATACTTTCTAGTTCCTTGCCAATGCAAGATTGGTCCAAATACAGTAGTTGATCACTCTTCTTGTCTGTTATTATCTTTGGATGTGTTGGTTTGTAGTTTACACTTTACAACTCAGCCTTTGGACGTAAAACTGACGCTGAGAGAGACTTGAGAATGCAGTGCTCCTTATATTTTCAGCGACACTAGGCTTAAGAACATACTACATTATATTCATCTCAAGTTTATGGAACTGTTGTTAGTAAAAGACCACTGGGCTGAAAATGATAGATTTGGTTGTGTTTGCAGGACTTTATTGTAAACGATGTTCGTAGGATTCTCTTCGAAACTATATCATCTTTTGATGGTAAAACGGAGGATGAAAAGGACATGGGAAACTTTATTGAGGTACAATTGCTTGCTCTGCACAAAGCTTTGCACGTTCCTATGGATTCTAGCAATGATGCTTCTACCAAGGTTGCTTCTAAACTTTTGAATCTTTATCGTACCGGGAGGCTTGGTCGTTACACACTTGATTCTGTACCTGTTAATTCCTAGTTTACAAAACCTTGTAAGATTATGCTGCTTGATATAGTTTCTTTTCAGCCTCCACATTCATTACATTACACAATCGGCGGCACATTCTCTGTACATAAAATTGGTAAAAAGATGGAACGGACAGGTAAAAAACACTAAAAAACTTTTCTTGTCATGGAAGTTTCGAGGAAACGTCCTGAAATTCCATCAACTTTTTTTTTTTTTTTCCGAGTTTGATATTGTTGAAAATTCTGATCTTGGCTTGATAGAGCTCTCATGCTATGCTAGGGAGACAAATTTCTCATTGAATAAAATTCTTTTTTTCTTTGAAGTATAAATGAAAGATAATCATCAGATAGGTTCGAAGAGCAATTCTCAAAGTCACAACAAAAGCCTTAAACATATTGACTTGAGCTAGTTTGATGTTAATCTTTTTATTACATATATTCCTCTTGGATTCCTCTTGGAAAGTAGATCCTTCAGTGTCATGTTTGTTTTTCTTCATTTTCATTTTATATTTATGTTGGGTTATCTTCATTAGAAATTCTACATCATATTAAAGTCAAGATTGTGAAAGTAAAAAATGTCATTCCCATTTTTGATTCTCTTATAGGGGAGAAAAAGGGAGGGAGGGAGTTCGGAGGTATTTACTCATTATTTAAATACTAAAAAGGGCAAGAAACCATGTTTGTTCTGAGCCATTTACTTTAATTAAATAACAAAAACCATGTCTTTTCCTATTTCCTTATATTATGCCTTCATTTTAGACATTAATTGATCAACTGCATCACTTTGAGGGAAAGAAAATGTTAGTGTCCAAATTCTTCAAACACTGCTAAATAGAAGTCCAATTACCCATTCCTTGTTCCCAATTCCTATTTCCTATGAGTTGAAAATTGATAATTTCTTTATCATCTTTCAAAAAATACGGAAGACATTTTCAAATATAATTAATGTTAGTCAAATATTGCTGTTTCCTTCACGGTTGTGCATTATGAATCATGATTTTGATTGCTGTGCCAAAGACAGTTTCATTCCCTTCTTATCTGTGCTAAATTATGCTATGTTATTTAGGTTTAAATAAAATTATTTTGGTCCATCTACTTTTAACTTTGGTTCATTTTAGTTTTTTTATTTTTAAAACGTGTATTTTGTTATTTCTACTTCTAATTTTTGTTCTGTACTTTTAAAAAGTTATTATTTTGAAAGCACGCAAATCAAAATGAACCATTATACTTGTATTGCTATTTAAACATTGAAATTGCTGTTGATGAGACCAGAGAGGCAGAAGGAAATGTGAGCTCTTTTCCATTTTGATGTTGATGAGACTTCCTCTGTTCTTTTCCACAACCTTCAGAGTAAGTGAACTTCCAATCATTTCCATTTATTTATTATTTTAATTCCTCCAATCTCTTGACTTTTTATGCTCAACTTTCCCCAAGGATCAGGATAGCATATTTTTCTCATTAATTCCTTGTTTTACTAAAAATAATGGACTCAAAGTTAGATAATAAGATAGAGACATCTCATTCTTTGACCATAATTTAAAATGACACATTCATGGCCGAGGAAGTTTAGTTCAACATTGTTTTTGAAATTTTGATATAGGTATATGCTGTGTTCTTCACATGACATAAGATAGAGTAGGAAAAAAGGGGAAACAAAATTAAATCTAATCATATGATTGAAAAATATATTGATATTTAGGATGAAATGGTACCACATAACCCAATGATTCTTCTTTTTTCTAATTTATTAGATAGCTTTGCTTGAATTTTGGTGCTCTAGTGGATTAATTATGTAGTTTCTTTAAATATTGGGTTAACCATCACTCTCTAGGCATCATGAACTGAGGAATAATCATCTTTGACTTTAATCTGTTTTATTATGAAATCTTCTCCCACATACATAAGCTTGATCTAGCAAATGTTTTGGTAACTTAACAATAATTTTGAAGACCTCTTCATTATGTTTGAGTGTGTCAGATGTGTTTACTTTTTCAATATTATTTATTTGTAGTTTTTTTTTGGTTGGCTAAATAGGTTGAACCTCTAACGTTTCGGAAGGCAAATAATATCTTACATGTTGAACCATGCTCATGTCAAACTCATATAATAAACTTATATATGTATGTAGAGAGGTGTAGGCTAATATAGATGAAAATAAAATTTGAGCCAACATGAGTTTAGTTTAGTGATAATTGACATATATCTCTGATAATGAGATTATGAGTTTGAATTTTCCACCCCCACTTGTTGTACTAAAATAAATAAATAAATAAATAAATAAATAAATAAATATATATATATATATGAAAATAAAATTTGAGAAATTGACCTAAAGAATAAAAACAATAGTTTTAAAGTTAAATAAATTACTTTTCTCTATGTATTTAAATTAGGGGGTGGGGGACAACCTAATGAGATTTAAAAAAAAATTATTTATATTTGTTTAGTCCGATAATTAAAATGACCAGAAAGAAAAGATTAGAAAAAACAGGGAGAGAAAGAGGCATCGACTTTCGTTTGAACCTCAAGAAAAGAAACATTATTATTTTAGTAGTATTTTTCTTTTGATAAATTAAATTATTAAATTATTTAGACTGATTCAGAAATGAAACGAAGAGGAAATAGAGTCTGCAAGGCAGCTCAACTGTCCAGAAGAGATTAATGAAAAAAGTATTTTCCCACATTTTTGGGTTTGAACTTTGAATGAATAAATATTAATTTTCCAATAATGAAAATGGAAACACGTATAAAAGTCGGTTACGCCCAGCAAGTCTTTCGGATCTATTTCAATTTACGATACATGCCCCTTCTCCAAAAGTCAACTACCTTACCTTTCCTTCACTTTTGCTTCTTGGTCCATGTAGTTTGCTATATTTTCACACTCGCCCAACGCTTTCCATTTTCTTTTCTTTTGACCCATTTTTCAAATTTTGGATTTTTTTGGTTTTATTCAGTATAATAATATGGGTGATGATGGTTAAAACGAACCTAAATCAGCAGTAATTAATATATATTTTCAATCAAGAGGTTGTGAGTTGGATCTCCACCCTTAAAAAAATAGGAGGTGTGGATTTAAACTTTCAATCTTAAGAGAACGAGTGAGTGAATGTTTAATTATTGAGTCATGTTTATTTTTTTTTTCGAGTTTGAAAATTGCAAGATGTGAGATCAAATTCTAACTTTTAAAAGGGTAATTAGTGTATTATTCATCAAGCTATGTTCGAATTGACTGTTAAAATTTAGATTTGAACCTACGAATTTTAAGAGAGATTACTAATGTTTTAATCGGTGATGATCGTAGATATTTTACTAGGGTGAATTTGTGTTACTCTTCGATGAAAATGAAACTTTTTGAAGTATAGGGGTCAGTTGAAATTAAGAGAAAGTATAAGTACTGAGAGTTCAATTTAGCTATAATTTTGAAACTTTTGGTGGGAAGTTTTTGACTAAAATAATTGGGCTCATTTGCCTAACATGAATGAAATGCAACCAATAAAAGATCTGCCAATGCCCTACTTGTGATGCATGCAACTTATGCATTGGGGTTGAGTTGGTTCAACTGCAAATTAGTTGAATTACAAAATTACCCAATGACCCATATGGTCAATTTTCATTTTTGTTATAATTTGATGGAGATGGTGTTTTTTTTTTTGGTATGTTCATTCCAATTCCAATTCATTGCCTTGCTGGTCTTTTATTCTTTGGCATTGGCAACATACAATATCATAAGGGAAAAAAATTGAATTTTATTGATTAGAATGGCTTATATATTATATAATTTGACAAAGTAATTGTTGAATGCTACTTTTTTAGGTCTACTTTTTGAGATTGTTCACTAACTTTTACAAATTAGAGATTAACAAATCAAATTCAGACGCCGGAGTTTCTAATTTCCTTCAAGTCCAAACTATTATAGTTGTAATCAAATACAGTAACTTGCTCGATCAAATTTCTAAAAAGAAAAAGAGTCCTTAAACAGTTTTATGAATTTAAAATACTATTTTTATAAGTTATGAAGTTAAATATTGGAGACTGAAACGCACTTTGCATAATTGCATTTCTGTCTGTCTGTGGGTCAGAAAGAGGAAACCAAAAAACCCAAGGGGGCCAAATTGCAAATACCAAGAAATTGAATTTGTTTCAAAATACATATACGTTTCGTTTTGCTTCCCATTTATTACATAACAGCTTGCAGACCCACCGATTTCATTTGACTTTCAATATTTCCAAAAAAAAAAAAAAATTAATTTCAAATTTCATTTTTCGCATTTAAAATTCTCAGAACGCTTTTTGACGTCACGTTGCTCTCACTCACACACAGCTCCCTTATAAAATCCTCCGTCTCTGTCGCCAATGGAGGGTTTCACAGATCGATCTTCACTCCGATCATCAATGGATTCCGATTTCCCTCCCCTTTTCCGGTGCCCTATTTCCATGGAGCTCATGGAGGATCCCGTCACCGTCTCCACCGGCGTCACCTACGAGAGAAAAAGCATCGAAAAATGGCTCTTCACTTACAACAAGAAAACCTGCCCGGCGACCATGCAGACTCTCGCCGCCGGCGACTGCGTCGGCGATCTCGTCATCACTCCTAATCTCACCCTCAAACGCCTCATTCTCGCTTGGAAGATCGGAGATTCGTCGCCGGCGCTCAACGAAGTTCGTCTGCTACTTGAGACCGTTGAGTCTTCTCCGTTCAAGGTGAGTTCGTTGAGGAAACTGAAATCGATGATCGGTACGAGCGATGAGGCAAAATCGGAATTCATCCGATCGAACGGGATCGGAATTGCAGTGAACGTCGTCGTTCAGATTCTCGTCGATTGCTCTGATTTTTCGACGTTCGAAGCATGTGAGGAGGCCATGGGAGTGTTGAGCCAGCTCTCAGTTTCCGATGAAGACAAACTGTTCGACGAAATGTCGAAGAGAGAATTTACGAAATCGATAGCCATTGTTCTTCAAAGAGGAACCGCAGAAGGGCGATTTTACGCCGTCAAGATCCTCCGAAACGTAGCGTTTAACACCAATTACAATTGGAATTCTGTTCTGGAAGAACAGGGGATCGATTTCTTCAAGCCATTATTGGAGCTGGTATCCGACGAATTTGCGACAAAAGCAAGTTCGTGCGCATTAGATGTGATGATAGAGATTCTAAGGTCATCGAAGAGGAGCCGAGTGAAGGCGATCGAGGCCGGCGCCGTGTGGGTTCTGATCGAGCTGTTGCCGGAGTCCGGCCGGTCGAAGTGCGAGAGAATGCTGCAGATTCTGCAGATTCTGTGCGAGTGCGCGGAGGGGAGGGCGGCAATGGTGGAGCACGGGATGGGAATCGCGGCGGTGACGAAGAAGATTTTGAATGTCTCTAATGGGGCAACCAAATTGGGGGTGAAGATTTTGCTGTGGATTTGTAGTTTTCACCCCAAGGAGAGGGTGGTGGAGGAGATGGTGGCTTGTGGGGCGGTGAAGAAGTTGCTGATGATACTGCATATGGACGGCGGCGGCGGCGGTGGTGGTGGTGGCCGGAGTTCGACGAAGGAGAAGGTGATAAAGATCTTGAAGATTCATGGTGGCAAATGGAGGAGGAGCCCCTGTTTTCCTTGTGAGTTGAAGGATTATTTGAAGTTTGTGAATGATGATTGATTAAATATTATTTTTTCTAAGTAAAAGAAGTCAATATATACAATAGAGGGAAAAATAAAGGGTTTATTTTTGCACATTTTTGCTCAATTTTAATTGGGTTTTGAAATATATGGTAATTCAAAAGGGTGGTTTGTTATATAGGATGAAGGATGGTTAATTTTTGTTTTTGGGTTTTGAGTTTTATTTTTATATATGTTTTAAGGTTAGCTTTACAATCATTGAAGTTTTGTTGTAGTAAAGGTGAGTTCTTTGGGTTAACTTTACCATCATTGAAGTTTTCTTGAACTTTTTTTTATGATCTTTTGGTTTTCTGATTTAATAAAGTTAATTTTATTTAGTTAGTCACTTCTTAACAGAGAAATTTTGAAATCTTAGAGGGATTTTAAAATATAAATTCAATTCAAAATTGTGAATCACTTTTTTATTTTTAATATTTTTAAAAATGATTTTAAGAGATCTTAGGAAAAACTTTTAAGAAAACATTATTAGACAAGTTTAAACACACCCATTATATTGTAGAACAAGGGGGCAAGATACCAACTCAAGCCTGTAAAAGTCGTGTGTTCGAACTCCGATTTCTAAGAGTGTTCATTGGTCGGTTGGCATTAGTTTGGCACTATAATCGACCAACCTTTTATGTTTTTTCACTTTTGTCGACCGACTAAAATGTTGATTAGTTTCTGTTTTTATACATATATATATCTTTTACCTTTTCTAAAACACAAAGAAACAACGTCAAGAAAGAGAATTTCTCAAACGACAAATGGTGAGAGTGAAGAGAACAAGTGACGGATCAAAAACAGATCTTAGAGACACTAAGAAGATAAAGCATATCTGAGGACACCGAAGAAAGTGAGATGGAGATAGAGGTACATGCATTGCGTTAAGAGCAAAAGAGAGGGGTACATTGAGAGATAAAGTGAACGAGGAGGGTGGGTATTAAATTGTGAGTCGATAGGTTGATTTCCCACAGGTCTAGATGGACCGACTGACTGACTAGTCAGTTTTTAATATAAAAAATCGACTATCGACCGACTGGCTTCGATTTGGTCGGTTTCGATCGGTTCGCTCGACTTTTTAGCTATACATGAATACCTCTACCCACTCTCCACATGTTGTACTAAAAAAAGGGACAATATATTTAAACCTAACTTTATAGAGGTAACAAATATATTGACCAATTTAGCTACGTCGTATAAATCCATTAACTAAAGAATTTATCATTTATTTTACCTTAAACAATTATCACCGTTTGATCAGAAAAATGATCAACCCTACGAACGTCGGATCGGCTAGGATGAGTTGGATAGAGAGCTTCAAATGTCGCGTAGAAGACCTGCAAAACAGAGTAAGAACTCTGATGCTAAAGTCAGCAAATTTCCAAATCAACTTGAGAGAGAGAGAGAATTGGGTTGTTCGCGTAACTCAAAATGAACGGAATGATTCTATTTATAGGCGAAGACCCCGACAGCGTTCCCCACAAGGCCTAAACGGTTTTTTAAGGTTACCGTGAGACGCGGCGTGTTGTCGTCGAATTTGTCGGAGATGATACCGAACTGAGGTAAGCTAATCGGTTCAACCAATGATATTGGAATGCGATTATCAACAGAATTGTTCGGCTCGGCCACCGAAAGGGTTTGGCTTGGGCAAATGGATAAGCCGAGATGTGCATACTTGGGTTAATCTCGGGATCTATGAGCCACGTGTCACCTTCCACGCCCAGTCATCTCCTGCCACGTGTATGTTGAAATCTACCTCCAACAATCACTTATTCACATCTATAATGCAATTCAATACCACAGAATTTTTAGTTAATGTTATATTTGACTAACAAACAATATGTAAATATAAAATTAATTTTTTTTCTTCAAGTATGGGTAAAGGCATTGGTCCAAACATAATTTAATAGATAAGAGACATTTATTACAATTTTAAATATCATGGTTTTGATCGGACTCCTAAACTTTTAAACTGAAAAAAGAAGTCAAAACGAATCTAGCTCAGCAGTAATTGACATATATCTTCAATCAATAGGTTGTAAGTTCGATCTCCCATCCTATATGGTGTACTAAAATATATATAAAAGAGGAATGATAAAGCAACTCCACTTAAGTTGAGTTGTACTCTCAAAGGAAATTGATTCAAACCTATACATCATTACACCTAAACTTATAATTACAATTTCTAATAATCTCACTTAATTAATATATAAATATCTATCTCTAGTTTAGTCAAATTCAATTTTCTTCTTTATCAAAAGAAAAAAAAAAGTTCCAATTCTCTTCCTTTTGACTATTCATGTTATAGATAATATTACTGTAAAATCTCCTCAAAAAGAACAAAAATTACTGTAGAAAGACTAGGATTAATATAAATATTGATCCATATTATTTATAAAATTTTAAAAAGATTTTGTTACTATTTATTTTTATATAAAACTTTCAATTTCATTCTCCTAAATATATCAATTTATTTCAGACAAGTCCTTTTGTTAAAAATAAAAGAAAAAGAAAAAAAAACCATGAAAATATGTATATGAAAGTATAATGTGACATACCAATTTAGTAACACAAAAATATCCCCTTGCATAGAATAATCAATTAAAAAAAAAACTCACCATGTGTTTTTCTTCCTAAATCAAATCAAACTTGTCATTGTGTACTTCTATTATATTACATGAACAAAGTAAAATAAAAAATTTTCAGAGAGAAATCGACCAAGAATGTGAGATATAAATAGTGAGAGAGATGAGTGAGTTCAGAGAGAGAATTAGATAGTAAAAAGTGTAGGGTTGAGATTTCAACCTCCAATCTTTTAGTCGATGATATATGACTTAATCAGCCAGTCATCTTCAAGTTAGACAATTTTTTTACCCCTACGAAAACAATAAAAAAAAAATTAAAGATTCTTTGCTTTGGTACTTTGTTTTTGGAAACTCTAAAAAAAAATTATTTCTTATCGATTTTTTTAAGTGTTTGAAAATTATTAAGCCCAGTTTTGGGATACATAAATAAGAAATAATAATTTTTAGAGTTGAAGGTAAGAAACATAAATAAGAAATATAAAATTTCCTCCCTCAAAATTTGAAAATATTACCGTGAAATAAGAACAATATTTATATAATTAAAAGGGTTACATTTTGACCCACCAACCCATATTTTGTTACAATACAAATTAAAAAAAAAAAACTTCTTAATTTGTTAAGAGATTAGCTCTTTTAAAGATTTATGTCCTCACTCTACCTTTTCAACTAAAATAACTTTGTACAAAATCAATCTTTAGAGGAAATTACAAAAATAGCAAAAAAATAAAAAATAGAAATTGTATGTATTTATATATATATAGCATTAAGCTTAATTTTTTTTTAAAAAAATGACATAGATTACAAACTTATACAATCAGATGAGACTAACTTAAAGTCATTTTTGTGACATTTAAAAAAAACAACGATATTTTTATAAATACATATTTATTTTATGTCATTTAGTATAATTTTTCTAATATTTTCTTTCTTTAAAAAAATGAGATTTGGTGGTTTATTTTCCTTCCTTTTTTTAGTACAAGTGAGAGGTAGATATTCAAACTTACAACTTTTTTTAGATATCTTAATCAGTTGAACTATGTTTAGATTAGTCGATTTTTTTTTCAGACTATTTTTTCTCTTTGACATTTTTCCAAAGAGGATGAATGCATTTCATTATTCTCCACTTTTGTACATTTGAATTCTTTGGTTTGGTCCATCTTTCTATGCAATTCTACTCATTTTGCCTCCAAAAATAGTCAACTCCCCACTTGATCAAATCATTCAGAATCAGTTTCCAAAGGTTCCTTTTTTCCCCCCTTTTCTTTTGTATGCATAATTCAAATGCTTAAGCTGGAAGCAAGAACAAAGTGCATACATACCACCATCAATTATCCTCCTAACCCACAATCTGAATGACCAAAATGAAGAACTTTCTACCCATTTACTCAACGACTCGAAGTCACTCGGTTGGAATTATTTTTCTTTTTTTGAGTTCAACAATTGTAAGGTAGAAGATTGAACCATTAATTCAATAAAAAGTTGAATGGTCCCCACTCCTAACTATGTGCTCCTGGACTTCCAATTTAATAAAGTGTGACCTACTCAGTAAATACCAGCAGTTTGATTTTACAAAACTGACGAGAACCCTAAGATCAACGGAAAAAATAAACACATTTAGTTTTCTTCTCATAGTGATAGGTCCAGTATTCAAATCTTGAATCCAACTATTTCTATCAATTCATCTCCTAGCCTTCTATGCTTAGTTTTGTTCTTGAATATGAAGGTTGGTTTGTTCTAAAATAATTATGAATTAAGACCTTTCTTTAACAAAAAGTTACTCAAGTTATTGCTTGAAACTACAACCAGTGAAGAAGAATGTGGGGCCGGGGCTCCTGCCTGCTGATGGAATATAGGACAGAAACTCTATATTTAATTTAGTTTAGAGTTTTTTTGGTTTTTTGAAGTTGCTAAAATATGGATTTCTGATGAGACAGGCTGAATATTTCTTACCAAGTGTGAATTATGAAGGCATGGAAACCAAGCAAGATCACTGATCTTTGGCAGTTGGTTTTTGTAAAATTAAAATATTTGCCTACAAATCCACCAAAAATTTTAATGGGATCCAATTATCTATTACACACAATAAAATTAGGCCAATAAATACATCACATTAAAAAGTGATAACAGACAAGTATTTTTCTTTCCTTCCAATTATGTATGTCATATTAAATGCGCATGTGTGGCTTTTTTATATAATTAATTTTAAAATTTTATATTTGGTGGTGATTTAATATAGTCTTCGAAAATAGAAGTTTAATATTAAGATGATGAACTTGTAGTTGGATTGGGTGGGATCCCCCGAGTTTTAAAATAGTGAAGACCCATTATTCAAATATTTGTGTCATGTGTATTTTAATTTTTCTCCAAAAATAAATTGATAAGATCTACACCATTCAAACCAAATTAGATGGCCAAATTGAAATATCACCCAACGCAATTAGAAAAAAAAAAATGTTCAAATTTAATAACTGTAGTTGCTGATGAAAGAAACGACTTTATCCAACTTGGGTCACTTATGAATTGGTGGACATCTAAACATGACAACGTTTAAAACTTTATATCTAACTATCAAAGCGAGTACTCAACGATAATTGACATATATCTCCAATTACGAAGTTGTGAATTCGATCTCCCACCCCACACTCACATGTTGTACTAAAAAATAATAATAAAAAACTTGATATCCGGTATTTATGACGCTTTTTTTTTATAGGTTTATTTGTTCTATTTTTTCCTCGATCTCATATTGTGAGATTCATATTTCCCTTGCAATATACTTGACATTTGGAGAAGAAGAAAAAGGAAAAAAAAAAAATCAGAGTTCCCAAACTTCATCTTAGTCACAGAAAGATTATCTAGGTTCAGGTCCATAAACAATGACAATTATCCATGAAGAAGCTGCGGCTTCGTTGGTTCCTTAACCAAGCCATTTTCACCAATGAAACAACGTGTATCTCAATTCACCCCAATTCATGTTCTTTTTATCTCTTTACAATTGAATGGTCCAAAAATGCAACCTTATCTTCTCAAGAGAACCCCAAAAAGAAAAAGAAAAAAAATCAAAACAGGACCTGATGATTTTGACCAAAACTTATATGAAAATAATATCCTTTATTTCTTGAATGCAAATTCATCCTCCTATATGCTGCAAACAGTTTCTTACTTATGTTCAGCAACTCATCCCATCACTCCAAAACCCAGTCTCAGTTTCAACCAAAAACCATATCCCATCTTTCACCTCTTAAAAGAAACTACAAAATGGTCAAAATTGACACAACTCCAGCAACTCCATGCCCAAATGGTAGTTACAGGTTTCATCCACCACACGCCATCACTTAACAAGCTCATTGCCCATGTCCTCTCAATGGGCTCGCCTGGTCTTGCCTATGCTTATTCAATCTTCTCTCACACTCAAGAAGCAAATATACTTACTTGGAACACCATGTTGAGAGGCTTCGTCGACTCCGACATGCCGAGAAGGGCACTCCAGAGCTACATTGAAATGCTTCTATGGTCTAGCAATGTTCCTGATAGATTCACGTTTCCTTCTCTGCTGAAGGGTTGCGCCCATTTATTGGATTTCAAAGTTGGGAAGATTTTGCATGGCCAAGTTGTCAAGTATATGCTTGATTCTGACCTGTACGTAGAAACCACATTGTTAAATATGTATGCTGCCTGTGGGGATTTAAACTCAGCGAGGCTGCTGTTTGAGAAAATGGGTCACAGAAACAAAGTGGTTTGGACTTCTATGATCAGTGGTTATACCAGAAACCAATGTCCAAATGAGGCCTTGCTTTTGTATGAGAAAATGGAGGAAGATGGGTTTAGCCCTGATGAAGTTACCATGGCCACGCTTGTATCAGCTTGTGCTGAATTGAGAGATTTGGTTGTTGGAATGAAGCTGCATTCTCGAATTCGGGAGACGGGTATGAAGATTTGTGCTGTTTTAGGAAGTGCTTTGGTTGATATGTATGCTAAATGTGGGGAGCTCAAAACTGCAAGGCAAGTGTTTGATCATTTGTCAGAGAGAGATGTATATGCTTGGTCGGCTTTGATTTTTGGTTATGTCAAGAACAACAGAAGCATAGAGGCATTGCAATTATTCAGGGAAGTGGCTGGCAGTTCGAACATGCGTCCGAATGAAGTCACAATTCTAGCTGTGGTTTCGGCTTGTGCTCAATTGGGTGACTTGGAAACAGGAAGATGGATTCATGACTACATTGCGAGGACTCAACACGATCTGTCTGTTAGTTTGAGTAACTCATTGACCGACATGTACGCAAAGTGTGGAGAAATAGATGTTGCCAAAAAAATCTTCGATAGCATGTCGAAAAGAGATTTGATCTCTTGGAATTCCCTCATTAATGGTCTTGCTCTGCATGGCCTCGGCAGGGAGGCTCTCGCACGGTTCCGTCAAATGCGAACGACAGACTTGAAGCCAGATGATATAACTTTAATTGGGGTACTGACTGCCTGCAGCCACGCAGGGTTAGTTCAAGAGGGCAAGAAGCATTTCCATGAAATGAAAGCTTTATATGGAATCAGACCTAAGTTGGAGCATTATGGGTGCATGGTAGATCTTTTATGCAGAGCGGGACTTCTGGCAGAAGCTCGGGAATTTATCCGAGCAATGCCTTTAGAACCAAATGGTGCAATATGGGGCTCTATGCTTGGCGCTTGCAGAGTTTATAACAATATTGAACTCGGGGAGGAAGCTGCGAGATGCCTGCTAGAACTTGAACCAACAAATGATGGAGTTTACATTTTGCTCTCAAACATTTATGCAAGAAGGAAAATGTGGAATGAAGTGAAAAAGATTAGAGAATTGATGAATGAAAGAGGAATTCAGAAAACACCTGGTTGCAGTTCGATTGTCATCGATAACGTCACCCATTCGTTTCTGGCTGGAGATTGTTCTCACCCAGAAACAACTGAAATATTTATGATGCTTACACAAGTTAGAGAGAAGCTGAAGCTGGCAGGCTATGTTGCAGATATCTCAGAAGTATTACAAAACATTAATGATGATAAGAAGGAAGAATCAGTTTCTCAACATAGTGAAAAACTAGCTTTATGTTATGGCTTATTGAAATCCAAGGAAGGGGGAAGAATAGTTATCCTGAAGAACCTTAGGGTCTGCTCAGACTGTCATACTGCAATAAAACTAGTCTCAAAAATCTACCGGAGGCAGATAACGGTCAGAGATCGAAACCGTTTCCACCACTTCAAAGACGGTTCCTGTTCCTGCAGAAATTATTGGTGAAGCATGTGTGTGCGTACACATGGCACAGCAGAAAATTTTGAATGTTATACCTATCACAAGCTCAGAAATAGTTCAAGCAGCAAAGTGGAATATGGGGATAGGAAATGAGATATTTCCTTCTCTCCTGCATAAATAGAAAATAGGTTTACAATAAAAAGCAAATAACAGTGTTATCACCTGCAGCACAGTGTAGAATTCAAATTTTATTATGAACCGCATTATTTGTCATATGTTAAATGATTATAGAATACATTAATCAACTATTTTTATTGTGAAAGGCTAACTTCCGACAATCTAACCCACCCACCATGTATGGCCATTGACAGCTAGACAGGTACTATATATATTTATTGAGCAGGTTGCAAAACTCATGGTAACTAGAGCTTTGAAATGGCTGAATTAGGCAAGTTGGATCTTGCAGGGAGCTTTAGGTCATCCCACTCTTTGTCTTCAATCCTGGAGAAGTACCTCTCAACCATATCGTCGGTGACAAGCCCCAGCTTCGAGGGTTCCCACTAAATAAAAAATTGAAAAGAAGTGGAGATCAGAGAAAGGATGCATCAACTTCTAAAAATGTACATTAGAGAATCACGAAGAACTTGCAAGAGAGTTTAGAAATGTAGATGTCTACTATCTGCATATACCTTCGGGTTCTTATCCTTATCCAACAGTATAGCTCTGCAACCCTGCAATTRATGAAACAGAATTATGACCTTTAATAATTTTGGGGGTGGGAGCGTGGGCAGAGAAGCAGTCCAAGCCAGTAAGACCTCAACGAAATCTTTGCTGACTTCTCCTCGCAAGACATGGCAAACCATTCTATACTCACGAATGAGACACTGACCAACACCTTGAAGTCTGCCTTCTCTGATCTGTCATTTCAGGAAGAAGACTATATTAAGTACATTGTGTTAATGTCAAAACATTCACAAAATCAACAGCAATTTTAACAGCTCTGTTAAAGTTATTTGGAAAGACTAAAACCCTGACTGAAGTTCTTCCTTCGGACACTCCCACTGGCACTTGCAACAAGGATCAAAAACTTCCTGACCATGTATCTATTCACAAACTGGTGCAACATATGCAACCACAGCAGTGAACACCTTGAGCTCACTTTTATCTACTGTCCTTTCCCTTCAAGATGGATCCTCAGAACTGTCATGTAGATCTTGTTTTGTCATAGGATCCAAGAWAAGGCAAAGGTGCTCTGATTAAACGCCATCAAGGCTCTTCTTTGAAAATTTTGGTGGGAAGAAAAAGAAGAATGTTTTTTGGCAGCTAGTTCTTATTTCTTTCTATTGGAATGCTATAGCTAAATCTTCTCCAAACTACTCAATTTATTTGTTATTTGTACCAATTGGAATGTTTTTGCAGTCTCTCTTGGGATTTTAGCGTCAAGGATATCCTATTGTTTCCCATGATACCCTATTTGTCCCCCATACTTGTACATCTCTCATTGATATTTTCGAGTTTTACCTAGAGAGAGAGAGAGAGGAGGCATGAACCTATAATGCTAAATGATATCAATCATCAAAATTCCAATAACTAAGACTGTCAATCATCAAAATTCATAACCAGAGCAGCAGTCCTTCAAAGAAGGGACTGTTTTGGATTTACTAGGATGGTTGCATACCGATCTCAAAGAGATTTTAAGACTTGTTGGTGATGCTTTCTTCAAGGCCTGAATTGTGGAAGAGATCCAATCATCTTTATTTTTCAGTGCCTCCTCCTCCTACAAGAGCAAAGCATCAGACTGTAATCAGTTAAATGGAAAGATCCTACCAATAATCATGATCACACAATATTCAATGAACTACAAGAAAAATAAGGAAATGATGGAGTAAAATTATAAAGAATACATGCGACGAAAAGATATTGTGTTGTATGCTTAATCTTATCCACATCAACTTACAAGAGCAGCCAAAATATCTTCAACTGTTCTTCGAGAAAAGCACTTATCAATAACATTCAACCTGTTACAACAAAAAAGTTTTACTGCGTTTGAAAACCAATCATTTGCTTTAAAACAAAAATATTCTAATTGAACTTCTAAATCTCTCAAGTTTTACAACATGGAAAGAAGAAGATATAATGCAATAACAGTGTGAAGGGGTTGATTACTTCTAGGTAGATAATAATTACAAAAAGAATGTAACAAAATACTCTCTTTTGTAATTTATGCAAATAAATTGTCTAACTAGTAAGAGCTCAATAGGACATAACTCGCTCGAAAGGGTTTTTGATGGAAACCCTATAACTATAAATATAGGGTGATTATGTACTAAAACTGATAAAATCATTGCCCAACATTTGCGCACAAATAAAATTTGTTACTATCGCATAAAGAAAAAACAATAAATAAAAGATAAAGTCACACCGATGATAAACACTTTGCTCTTTAAAAATTGGTGTTTGGGAGAATTTATCAATAATTTCCGAAATGATGCTTGGCTGACTTGTATCTGCTCTGCAAAGTGCTTCCTCTAACTGCGCCAATCTCTGGTCATTTATAGGAGTAACAAAAAGGAAGAGGAATGTATTATCTTTTAAATTAAAGAGTGGAAGTTAGAGATTAAGTAAAAATATCAGAGATGAAGGGTACTGAGACAAACATCTCACCGACGTATGGTGTAAATCAAACAAAAGAAAGAGACTTTTATGTGAAGTGCAAATTGCAGAGTTCGATAATCAATTTCCACTATTTATATCAGAATCAGAAGTTCAAGAATTTAGACTTCCATAAAAGTGAAATTCCTAGAACACAAATTTTATAATTCAACGTCTTCAAAGAATTCAACGGGTAAAACTAAAATCCCATCAGCAGGGCAAGTAAACTATCCAAATGAGTTAAATTCAGAATATCAGAAAGTCAAGTTATGAAGAAGCTTAACATTTTTCACTGGGGAATGAGGATAATTGAGCCGAACATTATACTCCAATATCAAAATCATGAATTCCTTATCACTCGATTTTTTCTTTAAAAGAAAGGCAAGGAAAAAAAAAAAGAACGTAAACTAAACAGAATTATCTCTAAGCAATCCATAGGTTTCCAATTGTCTTACATATACTTCAACTAATGCTAGCAAACAAAGCCTTGACCTATGACATATAGTGTCGGAAAAACTTATACAATACTATAATTTCTTGTTCAAAACAATTCTTCACGTAAGCAGGGGATATGATTCTTTTTGCTACTTAACATTTGAACATCACAGAAATTTAGGAGGTAGCTTACCTCTGAAGCAACAAAGTGAGTAGCAAGGCCACATGCAAGCATTTCAGCACCATCCAACCTAGCACCTGTTAGACCAACATATTCACCTGCAAAAGTTTTTGCAAAATAATAAGACTTAATGAATAGAGTGCCTCCAAGCAAAAAAATCTCACTACATTATTCATTAGATGAAAAACAGTTTATGGTACGGTGGAGAATTGGTGATGAGGAGTCTCTTTGCTTTCTGGTTGAGGCGTTGAGCTGCTTTGAGCTTCCAATATTGGTATTGCTCTTCTGAAGCCTTACTTGCACAGGCATTTCAGATGTAATCACAAATGAACAATATTTGGAATTGAAAGCACAAAGCCCCATTTCAGATGTAAAACCAGCCAGTAAGTAAATGGCTGAAGGTAATGACTATTCTGATCTGAACCTTACTCTGTTCACTTTGCTCATATAGGACCTCATAGCTGAATCTAGAAGAATAGGCACTAAGTGATCTTATCACCACCTCCACCACGGTTAAAAAATGGATCAAATGCTTGGTGCAGAAATGTCTCAAATATTCCTAAGAGACCATTCACATGATCTATTTACCTATTATGGTAGGCCCAACTAGCAAAGTGGGGATACAATTCAATTTGGCGCAATTTGACTAAGCCACGTGCTGAGGGGGCTTTCTTTGTTTGTTCGGTACATACAATCTATGACGTATTTTTTGCTTTAATGGATCGAGTCTCATTTGAACCTATCTTTTCAGTCTATATGAGGTAAGTACCATTTATGTCAGCATGCAAATCTAGTTTCTGAATTGAAATATGCATGATAACGTGCAAATAAAATTTTCCATAGTATATGCTCTGATGTGCATGCCAACTGATAATACTAAAAAAAATACATACAGGAACACATTGGACAAAGGGGTATCTAGGTTAAAATAATTAGTTATACCAAAAAATCCCGGAAGTCTTGACAAGTAATAAGAAGCACCAACATCTGGAAAGAGTCCTAAAGCAGTTTCAGGCATAGCAAACACCTGCAAAAGGTATGTTGCCATATTCATGTATTCCCTTTTCGTAATGATTAAAAAAGTGGCATAAACAGAAACAGACTCCACCCACAGTACAGAAGCACTAGATTCAGAAGATATTTCAACATCCTTAAATTCCTAATCCTACATAATAAAAAAAAGCAAATCCGCTCTTCCGATCATTCTACACATACTCAAAAGGCTCTTCTTTCTTGTCTCAATTCAACAATAAAATTCATAAAAGGGCTACATTAGCAACTCTTTTTTAAAAAAAGAACTCTCTTTGCAGCTTAATCACTAAATACCATCCCAATGAGTAAATTATTCTACACATCTTTGAAGGAGCTAACTTAGCAACTCTTTAAAACAATAACTCTTTTTGCAGCTTACTCACTAAATATCATCCCAATGAAGAAGCAAGTAAACTATTTTAGGAAAAATCCAAGAAAATACAAGCTTGAAGTGATTATCCAAGTTCTAAATTTGAACAGCAGGGCTACTTGAAAGATAAATAAAAATGAGAGCGAAGAATAAGAAGCTAAATTCAAGTTCTAAATTTGAACTGTAAAACGTGGACATTAAATCAATAATTCAAGGGACCAACAGTTCAGAGCTTCAGTAAGGTAATATACCGAATTCTCTGTTGCAACACGGAATCTACCATGTATTGAAACACCAGCCCCTCCTCCCATGACAATACCATTCAGGAGAGAAACCTTGAAAAATATTTAAACAATCACTATGGAAGTAAAAATTAATCAAGTAAAAGTCATCATAGACTAAAACGACCTGCACTTAGAGTAACCAAAGTTACCTGTGGCTTACTGAAAGTTGCCATCAAATAATTTAAGATGAACTCTTTCTGGAAAAAGTTAGCACCTATCCTCCAATCACCTAACTCGCATAAACCAGGATTATGATTAGCTAAATATAAATGCTTTTGCATAGTATCAAGTTAACTTCTACACAACTCTCCTGGAATAGATGACCGGCTAACTGTAAACACCCCAAATCAGAACTAACATGTAAAACAATGTAAACTCTTCAATCTCAAGCATCGATCAGGATTAGTTGACACTATGAGCTGTGCAATCAAAAGAAATTTACCCCGTGTAATGTCACGAACCACAGCTGACACGTCACCCCCAGCACAAAATGCTCTTCCTTTCCCCTACTAACACATAGAAGATACACTATTAATTAAAAAATTATTTGTTATCAAAGATTAAAAAGAAAATTACAAATCAGTGGTTATTGGTAAGAACCCTACAAGGAGGGCGCTTAAAAAATAACTATGACCAAATGGTTCCCTAGAAACAGAACAAATGCTCAAGCCCAACTCATCAACTAGAATATAACTCATTCATCAAATAATCATCCTCATTCTTACTTCCAAATGTGGGATGCAAAAAACCTAAAGAAAATCTACAAAGGTAATAAGCACAAGGGAAATTTTCATTTTAGACCTATAATAGAATTTTTTGGCTGATCTAATAGCTTTTTGGGCTAAATTTTGGGTGATCTAATAATATAATTTTAGGTAATTTTATAATTTGGTCTCGATAAAATATTAAAGTCACTGCTGGTTTGAATTTAGTATCTAATTTGATTACATTAAAACTTCAAACAGTAGTATGAATTTAAAATTGACTCACTTGTAAAAACAATGAGTTTTTTTATAAATAATAATAATAATAATAATAATAAAATTAAATAAACTTAGAACTGTGGGCTCTTCTCGTCCAAATAGTTAATGGTAGTAATGAGTGTCTTAGCCTTAAAAGAGTCAGAGCATGTCATGGTATGGATCCTTTTGTAAGTGTCATCCTTCTCCTCCAAATCTTTTCCAGAAAGATAATAGAACAATACCATTGGAACAAGATAACGATGGAAGCAGTAGGTTCCAATAGGTTAAAAGGACCTGAAGCAAGATATAAAAATTGTTGAGGGAAAAGTGAAATACCTTTACAACCACAAGCTTCACACCAGGATCTGCCTCATAGGAAACAAAGAGTTCCAATAGCCGGGAAATCTGGAATAAAAGATTTTAAAAAAACACTAATTAGAGCAGCGTCATCAAGTTTCTCAGACATGAAAACTCCATTGCATCGTAAATTCCAAAATCTTGGAGATCTTGAACCATAACAGGTATCAGGCTTGTCAAAACTGACGCTGTGACATATAATGCAAGCAAATAACAGGATAAAGAGTTCTTGATCACGAGAATTTGGTGCTTATCGAATCGAATATAGTCTGTTAACTAAATGTCAAAAAGGTCCTTACAGGATAATCATTGCTAATCCGCAGCACATGTGAAAAATAACAGGATAAAGAGTTCTTGATCACGAGAATTTGGTGCCTATCGAATCGAATATAGTCTGTTAACTAAATGTCAAAAAGGTCCTTACAGGATAATCATTGCTAATCCGCAGCACATGTGAAAAATACATCAATCATGTTTTCAAACTTTAACAAAATTAATGTCATTTTTTTTTAATAACATTATTCTTTTTTTCTAATCCATGTATACTCTGTGAGCATCGCATACACATTGAGTACTTCAATTACGTAGCATTATAGATTAAAAAATACTAGCTAACAAAAACACACAAAGCTTGTGGAGTAGTAATATGAGATAGCAGCAAGTGAACCAAAAATCACGACACTAGGCTTTATAAATGGACCAATCGCAAGCCTCACCATTTTGGATGAAAGAGCATTCAACTGCTTAGGTCTGTTTAAAGTCAACAATCTCACAGACTGCTTCTCTTCCACTAAAACCTGTTGCAAAGAAATTATTGACTGAAACGTGAATGATACCAACTCTAATCAGCAACGTCTCAATTTAAAGTGTGTGTGTATAGAGAGAGAAGTTAAGCTAATAAGCACCATATTTTGTGCGGTGATTCTGAATTCTCTGGATACCTTTAGAAACCATGACCTTCATTATTTACACAGTTACAGCGAAATAGCAAAGATAAACAACAAATGTAAAAAGAACTCCATCATCAAAAATGGCTATGTGATGATAAATTATCTGCTCCGTAAGAAATCTATTGTCACTCAAAAGCTAATGAGACTAGAAATGCTAGCAAATTGCGACATGGATTTAGCAAGCTTCGGAAAGTGGCAATTGTTTAATCTTTACAATCACTATAGATAAGGAGAGGCAGTGAGCGACCTGATCTTCGTCGATTCCGGTAGAATTGAAGGATGCCATGACTCGCAGATGCTACCGCCTCGCTCAATTATCGTCTCGTTCGACGAAATGAAATGGAAAGGAGAAGAGTATGGCAATCGAAGAGCTTACGTTTCAGTCAGCAGGCTTTATATAAGTCTCTTCTCTTCCAAACGTGGATTCTGCTGAGTAGAGCTGCCATCAAAACTACATGTCGTTCTATGCTGGCTAAATTACCCAAAAAAAAAAAAGGAGTAAATTTTACCCTTGGTTAAAAAATATTTTCTTAGTACAATAAATTGGGTAAATCAAAGTAAGGAGTAGATATCAATATTCTATTATTGTGTGTGTGTATATATATATTCTATTTGTTGGGGTGAAAATCAAGCTGAGGTGCAAGGAGTGACACATGACAGTAAGGACCAACCCCACTATAGACATTGAGGAAGCGACACTAGGCATGTGGACAATTATAAAACATGTCTTGCTGCATAGCGGGTCAAGATGGTAGATGAGTGGAGCGATACCACATACTGAGAATGTCATTCCAAACGTCTTCTCTGCTCAGCTCTCTCACTTATAAAAGAAATTAGATCCCACCTCACAAGGCAGGTGAAGAAATATGTTAATCAATATACAAAGTGTTCTTTATTTTCCTCCCCTCTCCCAATTTACTAACTTGGCTGTTGGAGGACCTTAGGCAGTACTGGCACCATGGTCCATTCATGCATGTTGACTTGTCCAACGACCTAATCCAAGGATACATGGACCATCTGGATTTAAGCATCAAACTATTGTTTCAATACCATTCTTATATTTCATCAACGTTTTAAAAATATTTATGAGTAAACCTAAGTTAATATTTTGAAATGTAGTAAAATCTAGAACACTATGATAATTAACGTGGCACATGAGTTTAAATTTTTCCCGGATACTTCTTCATCATCTACCTAATTTTTTCTTAATCTATTTTAAAAAATGATAGTCTATTCCATATTTCATTTATTTTATTGAATGTTTGTTCAAATGATATTTTTTTTGAAACATTTATAAGCAAAATTCAAGAGTATTAATTTAATAATTTAGCCTTCTAAGGATCGTACTGAAACTACATGTAGTTTCCATCTGTTGCTTGATGCACCGTATACGACACGTAGTCCAGAATCCGGATGAAGTTGAGCCGCATCTGCTGTCGACGCCATCGGAACGGCGTCGTTTAACCGTAAAGCATAACCCGCCAGCGCAGCAGCAGATTCGTTCTATTCAACGAACCGTCGGTTATTGAGTGAGGCGTAGAGGTACAGACTCCGACTGAAGACAGTGGAGAGCGAGAGCAAGAGGGAGTGAGAGAGAGAAGTGTGATTCGTGATCACTGATCGGCGGCGATAACGATGGCGTCGAAATTTGATTTCTCAGAGGAAGAATTTCAGGCATGCTGCGGAAGCTCCAAATTCGCCAGAGAAATGGTTGCCGCGTCCCCTTTTTCATCCTTGGAAGAAGCTCTAGCCACAGCTAGACTCGTCTGGTTCAATAAGGTCTCCATTCTTTTACCTTCTTTAATCTCTTCTTCACATATCATTGTTGGTGATCAATCTTGGCTGAATCTTGATGTTCGTTTTTGAAAGGTTGATGTGAGTGGTTGGCTGGAAGCGTTCTCTGCTCACCCACAGATTGGTCAACTCTCCAAGTCATCCAATCAGAAGAGTGCTCAGTTAAGATTCATTTTATGTCAGATTGTTACTTCTCTGTGTTCTTCGTTAAACTTGAATTGTTTGGAGCACTTTTAAGTTCTGATTGCTTCCGGTTTAAGACAAGATTTGAATAGTCGCTTTGTAGTAGATGCAGATGAATTCTGGAATGTAAGACTTAACTTCAGGTTGTGATGACTGTGAGAGAATTCTTATTGGTTTCAATTTTAACTGATACATTCCATAATAAAATACTCTCCAAGTCATCCAATCAGACGAGTGCTCAGTTAAGATTCTTTTTATGTTAGATTGTTTCTTCTCTGTGTTCTTCGTTAGAATTGAATTGTTTGGATCTCTTTTAAGTTCTGATTGCTTCCTGTTTAAGACAGATTTGAATAGTCGCTTTGTAGTAGATGCAGATGAATTCTGGAATGTAATACTTAAACTTCAGGTTGTAATGACTGTGAGAGAATTCTTATTGGTTTCAATTTTAACTGATACCTTCCATAATAAAATACTGAATAGTTTGAAATAGGGGATATCGATATGGTTTTGAAGCTTCCTTTCGTTTTATCCTATTTGCTGCGTTCTAGGTAATGTGAAGATGCTATTTACTGGCCAATTATGATAGTTGCTCATCGGCTCTGAGGTTGTTTGGGGAGGATAGATTTCATCTCGTTTTATTTATTTTGTATGTATGACTGACTCATTGGATGAGAACAGGGAGAAATTCAGGCTATTGATAGCCGAAACAGGGAGACTTTTCCCTTCATTATAGGTTTCATTATTCGTGCATTTGTCCTTCCCAGTTCCCACTTTTGATAATATTTCTCGTATAACTTTGTATGTTATTGCAAATCGTACACTTGAAGTGACTTCTAAAATGAAATTCTTCATAGATGGAGTAAGGGAGAACAATCAACTGCACTGGCAACCGCAACTGATTCTAGCTTACAGGTTAACATACCGTTCTGCTCCCAAATATGACAAGTACTTTGGAGTCTGTTTTAATATCATTGAGTCGCCTTATATCAACCATCAACATTTTTTCATTTTTTTCCCGCGAGGGTGGGTTATTAGGCGTACTTTTGCATAATACTTGCTGGCCTTTGCAGGAGCTCGCAGAATGGAATACTGAATATCATCAAAAGTTTGGATTTGTGTTTCTTATTTGTGCATCAGGACGGAGCACTAGCGAAATACTTGAAGAATTGAAGGTAGATCCTTTCTTGAAGTTCATTTTTATGATGATGGTTTCTAAAATTTTAGCTATCTATTCTTAAACTTTTTGAACCTGAATAAGACTATGGAATAATTTGTCTAGAACATATAGTGATCACAGGAGCTACCGTTACCATTTTACTAGGAAACTTCAAGCAAAATACTGAACGTAAATCAGATAAAGGATTGCCATAAATAATACTTGTTTTGCTTCGTCTTCTTTGGCCTATCTTCCAACAATGAGTGACTGAATCTGATCAAATGGAAAACCATTTCTTCCCTATTGAAAAGCCTCAATATTCCATTGAACTTAGCTCAATGATGAGAAGCCATTAGAATTTATTTTCCTTGTATTTTGTTCATATTTTCTGGCCAGTGGTGCAAGTCTTGAGATTTCGACTGAGTGATTGGTTTTGTTGTGATTGGAACTTTGAATTTTGTTTCATTTATTCTAAAACTCCATAAAAAATCCCCCTTCATTTAGTCAAATATGTTGTCTTCGTCTGAATTATGAACAATTGTGCCTGCTGCAGAAACGGTATCTAAATATACCCATAGTTGAGTTTGAGGTTGCTGCAGAGGAGCAAATGAAAATAACAAATTTGCGTCTTGCAAAGCTTTTCTCTACCAAACAAAATGGCTCTTCAACAACAGAGAGCTATCCTGCAGGTTTCGCAAGAAAAGTAGAAGGTACACTTTGATATGGATATAACAAAAGAACTTGCAAAGAGTACTTTATCTCTATCATCGGCGTGTTCATATCTTCATGGAAATTCATGCTTATTTGCTATATTCTGTTTTCAATGAACAGTAACTTCTATTAAGTGAACTATAATGTTACAAACTTAGCATGTTCAATTTAATAGAAAATAATTCTCTCGCTTAATCTTTCTAATAAGAATGCAAGAAACAACGAGATGAAGAGATTAAAACGATCTGCTCCTCAGAAGTCAGAAGAAATGAATACTAAACTGACACATTCTGATTCCACTAAGAGATTAATAATTCTTTGCACTACAAGTAACAATTATTCAATTAATCTCTTTTATTCTTTCTTGTGTGTGCCGAACACTTATTCAAGTGGTTTCCTTTATACCAATTTCAACTGTTAAGGTGGATGAATGTGACGTAACTATTTCAGAAAAATAGTAGGTTGATTGACATCCTAGTAACACTTTCTAATCATTGTTCATTTTCAAATTCTAGAAGATCGTGTGAGCATTATTGGAGGGCATCTCACTGCTGCAAATGCTGAAGCTCCAACTGGAAAGATGCCACAATTTTCAACTCGAACTCGTCCACCAATTACGACCCATGTGTTGGATGTTGCACGGGGATATCCAGCTGCTGGTATCGAGGTGTGCTTGGAGAGATGGAATGGTACTGAACCCCGCCCCTTATTCGGTAATGTTGATGCTGGTGGCTGGGTACTTGAAGGATCTTCAGTAACAGATAAAGATGGCAGAAGTGGCCAACTGTTGAGCATAGTTGATGCTATAAATCCAGGAATATACAGGATAAGTTTTAACACGGGCGAGTATTTCCCCACCGGGTTCTTTCCCTACGTTTCTGTCGTGTTCGAGATCAGGGAATCCCAGAAGTTGGAACACTTCCACGTCCCTCTCCTGCTTTCACCATTCTCATTTTCCACTTACCGTGGAAGCTAGAAGTTCTTAGTAGCAAAGAGACTGTTTTTGTCAAATATTTGGACGTCCTTTAGAGTACTATTTTGACTAGAGTCGAACAATGCAATGTCGATTGATACTAAACGACGTGGATGATTGGTGAATGTTGTATTTTCTGAAAAATCTTACTGCAAATTTGTGAGAAGATATCATCGTACATATGCTTTTTGAAAACTAGATTGAAGTTTCAGTTTATGATTATATAATGGCCCTTGGATGGAAAAATGTCTTTCAATTTTGTTTGTACGCATTTGGTATGACCATACTGATTGATTGACTATTTGGAGACTTTGATAGAAACAGCTGCTGGAGTAGTCATTGGGAAAGCTCAATTTCAAAGGAAAGGATTGTGAAGGCACGACGAGAATTTAATCTCTTTTCTCGCAGTATGATTTTGTCTTTATAAGTAACTATTTAATGTTGGTAGACTTCATATTRTTTCTCATATGATGTTGATTTAGCACATCCCGCCTAGAAAACCTTTTATAATCGAATCTAAAATAGTTGTGTTTGAAGTTGAGAGAAAATTATGAGATATAAAATTCACATAAAGTAGTATGAAAATTAAGGAAAAAAATTAAGTAACTTTCAATTTCATCATTCACCTCTCTAATTAAACTTATCAAACATAAATAGTTTTGAAATTAATGGTGAGCTGCCGTCTCGATCTAAGAAAATGAAAATTTTATATTAGGGGTCTGGTTTGTGCATTTTTTCAATCTTGAAATGTTCAATTGAGGGTGTGATTATGACAACTCCCACAAAGTTTATGATGGTTTTTACAAATTTTCCTAAGTTTTATTTAAAAAATGCGAAAAAAGTCGAATACAAATTTTCATCCAAGGCCTTGAATTATCTTGATTGATTGATAGTATAACATTTCTATTGGTTCAATTAATTTCACCTTAAATTTTATTTTCATTAGTTAATAAATTAAATTTATTCTAATGAAATACCCACCTTAAACTTTCACTTAAGAGTCGGACAAATGAAATCAGCAAGATCACAAATTTCAGGCTATCAAGGAAGTGGCCTTGAATAATTGAACCACAATTTATGCTATAATTAATGCTCATTTTACAATTGTTGAGATAACAGCCAACAGAGGGAGAGCGAATAACTATAAATACAGTTGTAAACTTCAATTCTCTAATCTCAGCTTCTTTCTGGAGAAATATTTTAAAATAAACTAGCTTCAATTTTTTATTTTACAAGTCCAAAAAAGCAAAGATGCAAGCTGTGAAGGATAAACTACATGACATGAGCGCCATGCGCAAGGCCAAGGCCGAGGCAAAGGCCGAAGAGAAGGCGAGTTCTCCATAAACAGATAACCATTCTTTCATATTTGTACCTTTTTTTAAATATAATAATATATGAAATAACGTTCGAACACATGACATTTTGATCAAATATAACTCTCTGGAATTAGGCTCAGATTGAATTTTATGTTTATATCTTAYAGCTGAGAGAATTTTTCATGCTTAAATCAAGTTGGATTGGAATTCTTTTTAAAATGTTTTTAAAGTTTTAGTTAAATTTTAATAAATGAAAGTAGTTTTGTAGATTTGTTTATCATCAAAGGGGAGGGAGCTGTATAAAGGCAACCTTTTGATATTCTTCAATCACCTTCATCCTAGATCCGCCTCAATTTTTCTCATCTATTGTCAGCTTCACATCGTTATATTCTTCATCCACTGATTTTAGCTAGTTGTTCAGCTTGAATCTCTAACACGAACCTTTTAAAAATAATGCTTGTTTTAATACAACAAAATTTTCRCTTCTTTGGAAAACATATTTTTCTTCCCAGCACGGTTTAAAAAACTAAACAAAGTTTTTAAAATAATTTTTTWAAAAAAAAAATTGGCCTAGATTTTGAATATATATACACTTTTTTTTTTATAAAAAACTATAGGATAAAAATAAAAAAATACCTTGGTGAAACTTTCAAAGCTTAATTTGTAAAAGCAGAAAACTAAAAACAAAAAATTTGAAAAATTGAGTTTGAAAATGGCATTTGCAGGCAGAGAAGGAGCTGGCAAAGGCAAGAGTGGAGGTGGCTCATGAGGTAAGATTGGCAAGAGAAGCTGAAGCCGCAATGGATCTTCATGTGGCCAAAGCTGGAGAAAAGGCTGAGAGAGAAATGGCAAAGTATGCTCATACTCACCCCACTGCCTTTGTGGCTCCCGGCGGCACCACCAACTTGGCCGCCGCTCCCGTCGATGTCACCATGGTCGGGCCACCCGGCACCGTCGACATGACCGGAACCGTTCCCGTTAAGAAGATGCTATAAATTGATCATATGCTTGTTTTGTTTTGTTTCTGTCTTTCGCAACTTCTACCGTATCTTCAAATGCTGTGTAGTAGAATGTAAGAATTTGTATGGTTTCGTTTTTAATATTATTGATGGATCGTTGAGGTTTCTCCTTGTACTATTATCGTTTTTTTCTTCGAAAGATACTGGAACCATTTCATTAAARTATGTGAGAAACATATCTATAAAAAAAATGGAAAAGTTATATAAAAGTACGTGCTCTGGTATAACGAAATGAAAGAGAAGATATTATAATTACAATGGAAGATCCAGAGAGAGTTATTATCGTATTTCAAGGACGTTCATGTATTAACACAGTAATTATTTTGATAACCCATTTTATTTTTATTATTATTATTATTATTATTTTTTCTAAAGATAAAAGGGAAAAAGTTCGATTCAATTTGGCACAAGAAAGACAAACTTTGGGTGGTGTAAAATGCAAGACACTATTCCAAGCAGTAGTTGAACCAACTCTCAGCAATTCTTACCAAAACGATGTCGTGTTGAGAAGAAATGACTAGAAGGGTCTCTTTTCTACCTATTCTCTTGTGTTATATATGAACATGAAAGATTTCTTGTGCACATTTTTTGTTGTGGAGTTTTTTGGTGCAAAAATGGCAGAGAAAGAGAAGAAGATTGAAGTCATCACTGCCATTTACAAAGTAAACCTTCATTGCCATCAATGTTGGAGAGAAATCAAAAAACCTCTTGCAAGAACACAAGGTAAAATTAATTTATCATTTTCTTACTTGCTTTTTTCTCATTCGTTTTCCCTCATTTTCTTGGCAACCAAACACGTTTAGAATAGAAATTTTTGCAAACCTCCTCGTTCTACCATGACAAAAGGATGACTTTTGAAAATATTTTTCAAAACTTTTTTAGTATTTCTTTACATAATCAAAAGGTAATCTAAAAATGGGACGCTTGCAAAAAAGAAATAATAACAAAGTTTGAAAGTCCAACCTATGAAAAAAAAAATGCAATACTCTAATATATAGCCTTAATGAACATGAAGCCCATATATATATATGTATATATATTCGATACACCATTTATATATTTGAAAATTTGAAAACGTACTATTAGAATAATTAGAAAATCGAAAAAAATCATATTTTAAACCTAAAAGTTGTTGCTATATTTGCAAATATGACAAATATTTTAGCTACTTATTATAAATTCTCTTTCAAAATTCTAAAAATACTTAAAAACGACTTAATTAGTATTTATCACTAAAAAAGGCTTATAAAAGAAGTATCAATGAAATAAATTTTTTTTTTTAAATTGCAAACCGTCCATGAATTAAGAACTCGTGATAGAATGCTCTAAATCTTCACACCTCACGGGTCAATAGTCATTTAAGACTGCCATTTCTTTTATATTTAGAATTTTGGTGGTGTGGTTGTATGTGTGTATATATATACTGTGTGATGGAATTATTGATCCTTTAACCTAATGTTTTTTTTTTAATTTTTTTAATATTGATTATTAGGGGTTCAAAGTGTCGAAGTTGAAATGGAGAAAAATGAAATTAAGGTGAAGGGTTCAAATTTGGATGTGCTGAAAAYTCATAAGCAAATAGAAAAGTTGAGCAAGAAAAAGGTTGAGTTGATATCTCCCAAAGTGCAGCCCAACGAAAAAGAAACCCCCAAACCCACAGACAACAAACCCAAACAAATCCTTGTGAGTTTAATATTTTTTATTAACATTAATTTATATATATCCATTTTGTTCCGTCTGTAATTTCAAAAAGTCAATTTTAGTTCGTTAATTTTAAAAAAGTGACTATTTTTAATTTTTATCTTATTTTTTTCATCATAATTATATGGTTGTAATTTCAAAAAGTCTATTTTAGTTCGTTAATTTTAAAAAAGTGACTATTTTTAATTTTTATCTTATTTTTTTCCATCATAATTAAATTATATGGTTGTAATTTCAAAAAGTCTATTTTAATTTGTAAACTTTTAAAAAATAACTATTCCTTTTAATTTTTTCCTCGATCATAATTTTATCATCATACTTCACTCAACTTCTTAAGATTTAGTCATAAATTATGTGTTAGTTTCTATCAAGTATTCAATTWTACAAATAGAGACTAAATYGATCGTTTTTGAAGGGTACGTAGTCTGAAATGGACGTTACTAACMTGAGTTTAATTGATGTATGTCTCTAACCAAAAGATCATGAGTTCGATTCTCCCATGGTAAAAAAAAAWWWTWWTWAAWTTTTTTTTCTTTTTAAATGGAAGAATATTAATCACATTACAAGTATAGGGGTGCAAATTCCAACCTCAACCTTTCTTTTTTCTATTTTTTATTTATTCTTTTCATTTGGCAGATCCATCGAACAATAACAGCCAAGGTTCACTTGCACTGCGCCAAATGTGAGCAAGACCTCAAGAACAAGCTGCTAAAGCATAAAGGTTCGCTGGCAAATCCTTTTTCATTTTATATTCTTAAATACTTTATTTTAGTTATGATCTTGTATAAATTATATTTTAATTTGTACAATTAAAAAGGCTACAATATTAAAAGTATACTAAATTTGAAAGCAAAAAATATTGTAACTTCTAAATTTGCTTTGATTTAATTTTAAACTCTCAAAAGATTGTGTTTTAGTTCTTAAACTTGGTCTCTCTCAGGGACCAAAATTTATGTTAAATTATTATCAAATAATTAATCAACCGGATTAAAATAGTTCGTTATGCAAAATTTTCAAACATCAGAACAAAATATTTAAAATTAATTTATAGAATAATACTTGGTAAATTAACTACTACTTTCATGTTAAATCCCCAAAAATTACATTATGAAAAATCAATGTATATTCTAGTTTCAACAATTTATTCATTCTGATGCAAAATCTGTCAGTAATTTGACATGCCTTATCTGATAATTATAAAGAACATGTTTCTAATAATTACGAAAATGGCAATTCAATAATTATTGAAAAATATAATAAACATATAAAAAAATTACTATTTCTCCAATTTCACTACTTTTGTAAATTGTGAAAATAGCTACAAAATTAGTCAACCTCTAAAACTGGAGCCATTTGAAAATAAGAAGCTATATATTTGCAGGTATATATAGTGTGAAAACTGATATCAAAGCACAAACCCTAACGATTGAAGGAACCATAGAACCAGAGAAATTCAGATCCTACCTGAAGAAGAAGCTGCACAAACACATAGACATTACCGCCGACAAGAAATCGGTAGATTCGTCGAAGCCATCGACGGAGAAGAAGAATGAAAGTACTGAGAAAGAGAAGCCGAAAGAAAAATCTTCATCTAAGACGACGACCACTAAAATTGCAGAGATTCAAATCAAACAAAGCGACAATAATGTTAATAACAACAGTAATGTTCCATATTTCATTCACTATGTCTATGCTCCACAGTTGTTCAGTGATGAAAATCCAAACGCATGTCGAGTAATGTAAGTAACGGTTGATTTTTTACGATAAAAATTTCATATTTCAACTAATTAAATAAGAGAAATTTGATATTGAAAGTGTGCTTATTTTTTTATTTTTAACAAATCACGTTAGTTCCTTTAAAATCTATAGCCTTTTTGAGATCTTCATAGGCTATTGAAACTCATTCTCATTTGTAATTTAAATGTAAGCAATTTAAACTAAATCTTGTGCAAATTCACATAATAAATAATTATTCTATGTAATGTAAAGTAAAATAGCTCAATATTAGAATCGTCTCCTAATTTATATCTTACTATTTTGACCTACACTGCAAGAAATTTAAACTCTTTTGGCCCAACAAATCATCATTTTAACTCACCATTTGTCAATAAAAACTTCGAAGCTTCGTCATAACACACTGTGTTGGGAGAAAATTTTACCGACGAAATTTACAGTTCATTGTCAGAAGTGGTCTTTTGGCGATGAAACTGCTTTCATCAGTGAAAATGAAATATTTGCCAACGAAATCAAGTTAATATCAGATATATTTATAATCAAATATATTCTAATTACTAATTGAGAAACTAACTTGTTCTTATTTCTTCATCTTAACTTGCCCTAGCTCTGTCTGAGAACATCACTGTGAAGAAAACCTAGTTTTTCTTTTATTAGTTTTACCTTGAGACTATCATGATTATCCAAAATTTATTATATTAGACAAAAAGTTTCTCAATGTTTATCTTTCCAGCTAATCCTATTCTTCTTTTCTTATATATATCCAATAATATAATGAGAGAAATTAAACTTCTATTTGGTTATATTTTTTTCTTATTTTTTGTGGGTTTAAAAAAATTATTTATCTGGTTTACTTACCATTTCTTTACTTATGATCTTTTCACTTTATTAAAAATAGTTTCGAAAGCTGAACAAAATTCTTAAAAAAAAAAAGTTATCCACAAATAAGAACAATTAAAAAATGTAAAAAAAAAAACAATTAAAAAAATCATGATGAAACGATAAGTAAATTACTCACGGCCAAAGCGAGGCCGGTAATTAATATATACCTCCAACATCCTTTTCAATATGTTGTAAAAAAAAATGGATTTGTTTGGAGAAAAGGAGTTAAAGGCTACGAAGTCACTCAGTCGAACTATAAAGAAAGAAAGGGAGTCCTAAGTTCTGTTCCATCGGATTTAATTTATCTATATATTTATTATAAATAAAAAAAACTTAGGTAACTAAATATTAATGATTATTGGTTTAAATGGTACCCAAATCGAATCAAAAGCACTCTTAGGAATCATAAAATAAATAAAAGTTACAAACATTAAAAAGAAAAAAAAGAAGAAGAAGAAGAAGAAGAAGAAGAAAAAGTTGGGTTTTTTGTACCAAAGTTTGAAGACAATTAAATTATGACTAATCTAAACAATTATTATTAATTTCTCTAACCTTTTTTTTTTTCTCTTTTTCCAATCTTGAAGCTCAATAAGATGCTCTCCCGCCGGAGTTTCCTTCTCCCCATCCGTCCACCGGCAGCTGACTTTGATTTGCCGTCATATTCATCGGCAGATTGAAGAACGGCAAACCGGCGGCCGACGGGTCGGGAAATGGGTTGCTGAGGCTCCCTCCGCAGCCACCTCCGCCGTTGGACGGCTCTTCCTCGTCCAACGGCAGCCTCTCGTAGGCGACGTTGGTGAACGATGAAGCGATGACGATCACCGGTCCGGAAGCAATCAAAGAGCCGACGACATTCCCTCCGACGATCTGCCCTTGCCCTCCGGCCAGAAAGATTGTCAAACTCGTGGCGCCCGGCGGAGCCGGCGGCGGTAAGAACGACCCCGACAAGGACAATATCTCATACCTGTTAACAAATATTAATAACCTAGTAATTTAGACTTTTTGGATTTAATAATAATTTAGTTTGTAAATATTGTTTTCTCTTCAATTAATAGTCGAGTTCTTTATTTCTTTCAAACGAGAAAAATTATTCAATAGTATAATCACCGTACAGCTCTTAGATGCTGGTCTAAAATCAGCTACAACAAACAAATATTAAGCACATATTTCTATCTAAAAAAAAATTGATAGTTTATTAATTTGTTTAATTTTCAATTTTTATATTTATCTTTTTAATTTGTCAACAATTTAATATGAAAATCAGCACTTTAAGTATTTATAAATATAGAATAACTTGAATTCAATCCCTTCATAATAAGAAAAATATTTAAAGGTCCGTTTCGCTTCTGTTTTCTTAAAAAAAAGGTTGTATGAACAATATTTAAAATAAATTATAAATTATAAAGAAATAAGAAATAATAAATTTGTTTTTATTGTTTTCAAAATTTTCCATATAATTTTAAGAATATTTCTAAAAAATGAGAAACAAGTTCAAAGTTTTTTAATTAAATTGAAAACAATAGAGGAGAAATCGAAACATTACTTAATTTAATGGCGATTGCCAGAATATTTTTCTGAAATAATTTATAAATTTTTGGGAGGAGTTAATTAAAAGATTAATAATATGAATTAATAAAAGTTCTGTGTATTAAAAAAAGAAGAATAAAAAAAAGATAAAATACCTGCCATGGAGGGTGAGGACAGCTCCGGCGGAGGCGGGTTGGCGGAGGGTGACGTTGGTGACGGCGCCGGAGCCGCTCAAAACACAGATCCCCCGCTGGCGCTTACGGGCGTACGTGGCGACGGAGTCAAAGATATCGCAGCCGGAGTTGACTTCCAAGATGTGGGCCCGCAACGTGTTGGCGCTTTCTCTGGTGATGATCACCGGCGGTTTCTGCTTGTTTTTCGAACCGGGCGGGCGGCCCCTCGGCCGCCGCCCCACGATTTCTCCGCCGGAGTTTGGTTGCTGGGAGTTGCTCATGTGCTCTTCATTATCGCCGCCGTGGAACTGGTCGGAGCCGTCGTCGCCTCCGTCCGGCGGCCTCCGGAGGTGGAGATCCACGGGGCGGTGCTGCAGCTGGTGGACGAAGTGGGAAGCAGAACCCAAGTCTAAGCCCGCCATCAACAACAAATAAGAATAATAATAATTAGGGAAAATAATAAAAGAGATATAAATCTTTTAATCGACACAGTGGAATTATAATTTTATAAAAACAAAAAACCCTAGAACGAATGGGAAACGGGAGGAAGAAGGGAAAGGGGAGAGAGAGAAGAGGAAGAGGAAGACGATGAAAGAGGAGAGAGAGAGGATGAAGAAGAAAATGCTGCGATTCCCACAAACAATAAATTCTAATAAAATATTTAAACTAGAAAGAGTCACTTTATGTTTTTCTATTATTTTAATCGCTGTTCATTGGTATGATTTAGTTTTGAACTTTAGCTTCTAATGTGATAGAGTTATTTTAAATTGACAATAATTTAGTTTATAAAATTTTAATGTATAATAATTTAGTATATATAATTTAAAGTTTGTCACATGCTAATCACTATTTTAAAAAATACCGCTACAATTTAATACGGTTTCTTTTGTTTAGGTAGATATAACGATAGATCAAATGTATTTATAAATTACAAATATATTCATTGTTATATAATAAAAATCAACAATTAAATTTTGATGAGATTTAGTATAGGGATTAAATTGTTACAAACATTAAAACTATGGGAACTAGTTAAATTGTTATACGAGTTACTAAATTGTTAATATTTTGAAAGTATAGGAACCAAACCGTTACAAACTAAAATTCAAATATTAAATCGTTATTTCATACACAAACCAAAAATGTTTTTTTAATCTAATTTTAATATTTAATTAAATCACACATTTTTTTAATATAGGGTGTGGAGATTCAAACTCACCATCTTTCGATCAGAATTACTTAACCAAATTTAATTAATTTAGCTTTAACTAAACTATAGAAATCAAATTGAAACTTCTAAAATCATTGTAACCAAATTCAACCAAATCCAAATCTTGGGGACTAAATTTATGAGAGCACGGCTATATTAAAATTAAGGCGGAGTAAAAAAAAAAAAGAATGTATATATTTTAAGGATGATAATTTTAAATAACACTACTACGAAAATGAAACTTTTAAAATAAATTTGGGACGAAATTATTTAAACTTTATTTTGAGATTATGTCAGGCTAAATATACTCTCATGAGGTTCAATGGAAAATTGTTAGTTATATTATCTGCATGCTATATTTTATGCATATTTATACTTATATATAAAGAATATTTTTTTTACTAAACTTAATTTTCCTACAAATTAATAAAGTCAAATACTTTCCAATTAAGTTAATTTAATATTCAAAGGAACTCCCTTCATACTGTGGTTTATTTTTTGTGATTTATTTGTTTAATAAATATGATAAAAACAGAACTCTAATTATATATATCGAAATTATTTAAATATAATGACAAAGTTTAATTAATGATTAATCTTATAAATTGTGGGAACAAGGAATAGATTATTAGTTTGTATTGGATAGTGCTGTCTGTACAATTACTTCAAAATTACAATGATCACATGTATATGACTAGAACTGGAAAACGGTTTGAGATTATTATAATAATTTGATTATTTTATGGTATATCATTATAATAAATTTATTATTAATTATTAATATTAAAAAAATCAACATGATTTTTATGTTTTAACAAATATTTCAAGTCAACAAAACCTAACAACATACGGTAATTAAGTTGATAGTAGAGATAATTGATTAAAACAATTTAATGTTATTTATACTGATCTATTTTATTTATTTATTATTCCAATTTTTTTAATTGTACTTTTTTGCATTTTTTTAGGGAACGTAGGTTTAATTAGTTCATTTAACTACTATTTAATTTGTGTGATCAACTCGAACATAATTCTAATTAGATATTGTAGTGCATGATCTTCATACCAATGATAGAGATTCAAACTTATTTACGAAGTAATTAACATGATAATATATATAATTATATATATAATTATGTAACATTTGATTTTGGATTATTTATTTGATTAAGTTGTGAGTAAAAAAAATAAAAATAAAAAAAGCTTGAGATACTGTCGGATTACTTGAAAATTTAAAATTAACAAAAATAAATAAATAAAAAATCATTCCAACCAAACGGAATAAAAGCTAAAAATATACCCTTTAAATTGAAATCTAACACAGATTCCTGAAAATAATAAATAATCTTATGTTCTAAGACATGATTATGAATGGTTGGAATATATAATTCCATAATAAATTAATTACAATAATATAATAATTAAATTATTATTTTTAGGGTTTATAAATGCTGCATAATTGGGGAAAGAAAGTACTATATGTTTCTTTTACCTTTAATTAATAAATCAAGAGGGAACAATATATAATTATTAGGTGCTTGAAAAAGGTGACAAGCACAAAGTGGATTAAGCTATGTACAGTTAGGAGTAAACTATAATTTATCCTATGATAATTTTTTTAATGTGACTTTACAATATTTTAAGAAAAACTAATGAATTAATTAAACTTCTGATTAATTTTTTGAAAAAAATAAAATAAAGTACCTTTTTAAGACACACCATGTTAATGAGTCTTTGGAAGGATAATAAAATTAAAGTTTAGACCTAGGTAGATTTTATATGATATGATTAAATTTTAACAAGGGGGATAAATTATTTGTTATACTAATATTTGACTAAGTGATTTGTCAATTAATATTTTATTGTTAGTCTAATCAAAATGATAATATTGAAAAGATATATATATTGTAATGGGAGAACAGAGACGATATCTTTGCATTGCACTAGTTAATTTTTATTTTTATTTTTCAATGCTCCTGTTGATCTTCACTTTTCTTTCTTTTTTAATAGTTGTGTTGATAAATGCACTTCTAATTAATAAACGTTGTAGAAAATATATAAGGGGAGTAATTATATAGTTAATTTTTAATTTGACGGGATTAAATTAGAGATGATATAAGAATTTGTAATCGACCCATGATTTTTTGGTCATAGGGATTATGGTTTCCTATGTCAGATAACGTTACGATACTTATTCTCATTCGCCATCAACCTACTTCTTCAACATAACATAGGGTAATTAACTTGATGAAATATAAGGTTAAAATCTTTCAACAATAATATGGCTTCACGTACGCTCTTTTGCTTCTTTAAATTTAAATTCTCTTAAATTCGATGCGGGGAAATCGAGCATATAGTCGTTTAAAATTCATGGATATTAATTTTCCCTAACATATAAAACTTAGAGAATGGAGCCAAATGATACAGAGAGACAAACAACTCTTCATTATATTAAAAATAAATTGCACAAAATGATTGTGATATCTAAAAATACCAATAATTAGTGTTACACACATCATATTGGATACGACCTTAACCTACTTTTTTGTAATTAAAAAAATATGATATAATGTGCATAACAATGCTACCTTAGGCTATCTTATAGGTGGCATGACCCAAAAGTTCTTTTCTTAATATTCCTTAAAAAAACTATATTATAAAACCCATGATGGCAATGAAGGGTTAATTTCTTTAATTAATATATTAATATAATGACGCCAAAGCCATAGGCATCATAATTTAATTATATTGTTTTGACTTTTTTACTTTTTAAGTTAAATTCATCTCTCCATGAAAAAGGCACTCTCAAGATATGTGAAAATTTGCAAGGTTTGCAAATTTAAAATTCTTATTTAATTAAGACCGTTATTTATTATCATATGAATATCATTGTAATATGTAGAGATGTTTTATATAAGAATGAGGGTAGCATACCTTCTTTTTAGTACAACGAGTAGAAATGTCAATCCTTCATAATAGTCTTATTTTTCCTCAACAACAATAAGAGACTGAAAGATCAGGGATTCAGACTCATGATCTTTTGATGAGGTATCGATTATCGTTGAACTAAGCTCAGATTTGCATGAGGGAAACATATGTAATCCCAAGTTAAAAAATGAAAATTAGTCTAATGTTCGAGAGAGGTAGTTGGATTATAGAGAGAATCAGAATCTATCAAATATTCAAATCATCTTAACTAAAAAAATCATTTTTTTATTTTATACTCAACTCAATGAGTCAAATTTAACTTTAAACTAGTAATTTATCCAACTAAACCTTAAATTTACAACATTCAACCATTAAGATATAGTAATATACTCTAAAATTAGCCCACTTGGAGTATAATTGAACTAGTTAAATTATTTTTTTTTAGTTTTAAATGTCAAATATTTAAATCACTGCCTTCATGTTTTACTTTGAACCAAAAAATCTATAAATCTGAGTAATTCGTAAAATTAGCACCTCCTCAAAATCCAAAATTTTTTTAAAAAAATTGACCGATAGACTGCCGAAAATCAAATTACCAAACACAATCACGAAATCAAACAACCAATACTTGCAACAAATCACATAAATATTCAAAGTATTAAAAATATTAATCTTAATCTAAATTTAGAATTCAATTTAAGGTAAAAATTAAAAATTTTCCTTATATTTAAAGGAATGTAAAAACGCTGGGCTGGCTAGGCAGGGCTACATAGGAATTTTGACATTTTTAATATTAAAAAAAGGTTTGGTGGGACCCACTTGTCTTCGAAGGAAGCTTTTGATTGCTTCCCGTCCCCTTCGCACTCCAAAAGGGCAGTTTTGACTTTTGAGTTGATGAGACTTGAGAGCGATCTGATATGCTCCGTCGTCGTTTCATCGTTATCTTTATTACTCTACCCAAATCTTTAAATTTACAAATATACCCTCCAAGTTCTAACCTTGGTTTTATCGCAACCTCATCGGTCCAATCCTTTCTCCACGTGGTTCTTCTCCCCTTGCGAATTTTAGGATACTACAATATCAATACAACTCTAGTTTATTCACTTGAGGATTCTTTTTTTTCTTTTTTATACTCGCGAGTATTAGTCTAGGTGCATTTCTATTAATCTCGTCCGACAACATAACGAATCTTAAATTTTTATTTATGAAAATTCTTTTTAGTTATTATATTCAAAAGAAAAATACTTGACTCCTCAACAGTAAGTGGAATTTCGTTCTTACCACCATTGCATGTTTAACAACTAAGAGAGATAAATACAAAAATATAGACATTTTATAAAAATTAATGAGTTGTCAATTTTCAATCGTGGTGAGGACAAGCTTTGTTCATCACCAATAAAGAGCCAAATATTTTTCCTATTCAAAATAA